TTACGGCCACTATAGGATTTATGTAAGTTTTTACATGTCTGACTAACCAGAAATGGTTTCTGACAAGTATAATATAATCAAAGGGTTTCTGTGCCAATCACATGTGGTGGGGCAAAATATTATTGGTTAATTATACCAATATTTTATTAATTACTCTTACAAGGTCTATTTTTTATTGCAGTTTGGTGTGATCTTGTACAAAATTCTAAATAGAGAATAACACATTTATATTGTAAAGGTACACTTATACAACATTAAACAAAAACTCTTAATCTACTTTATCATGATACTTTTAGACAAGTTAGTTTGTTTGCTCTGTATGTACTTGAGTAAACCATACTAATATTATAAATGCAAAAGTAAATCTGTCTGTCTGTCTATCTCGCTTTCACTCCAAAACTACTGTACCGACTTAAATGAAATTTGGTACACGGGTAGGCTAGAGCCTGAGAGAGGACATAGGCTATTTTTTAATTGAAAAAAAGTTTGTAGAGGGTTGAAAGATATTTAAGGGCTTCTACACGAGCGAAGCCACAGGCGAAAAGTTAATATTACAATAATTCCATTGAAGATGTATGGTCATATCAGCCATAATAAATAATGAAACAGTCAAGTGCTAGTTACAGAAGCAAAATTACATTTCAAGATTGTAATTTTAGGAATACATTTCATAAGTAAAATACACACAATATAGCAAGCATCAACTAGAGGATTTACAAAGTATATGAAGTCTGCCAGACTTCATATACTTTGTAAAATCTGCAGTGGAGGACAGAGAAAGTCTTTGCCCAGCAGTGGGATACGTACGGAAAGTACTAAGCAAAATCTAAAGTTCTGGTCTGAAAGTCCGGGCTCTAAGAAAGTGGAAATGTGCAGTACTAAAAGCTACTAAAGAGTGGAAGTTGCAAGAACTAAATATCATGGAAAAACAAAGCAGAGTTATGTGATAAGTGATACCTTCAATATGTAGGTTTTATTTTCTCATAGGTTAGATATACTTCCATAAATTTAGAGAAATTCAAATGACACCATATTTAGAGGTGTAATATTCAGTTAGTGAACAAGTTTAATACAACAAATTTCCATCCCTTTACAGTAGAGCATAATAGTTTCCTTAAATAGATTATTTGAAAACTGACCAACAATACTGGGGCATTGTGTAGCATAAGTTTTTTTTTTATTAATGACTTTAATCAATGTAGGTTCAATCATTTCAGCTTGCAGTAATCATCAACTTTATTAGCTGTATTTTATGCTGAATCAATATGTCTGAAGTATTATAATCAATGATTGTATATAATATTTTGGAATTTCCCATGTATAAGATGGGATGGGATGTATAATTTTTAAATTAAAATACCTAGATTTTTAATTGATATAATATTTGAAAATGTTTTCTGTGTTAAACACTTTGATATAGAGTACCTTGCAACCTCATCTTGTTTGTACATTTATACTTGTTTTTGGTGGAAGACATGACATCAAAATCTAAAGGCCTTTACATTAAATTTTTTTTATGCTAACCCTAAGAATTTGGAAGAAGAAAATCTGTGTGGTAGGTGGGAATATTGATGGGACATTAACAAAATATGCAGACACGTCTTCATAGCCAAAATAGTACTGGTATTGTCAATTGTTTCAGGTTATGAATACACTAATTATTGATAACTAGCTGACCCAGCAAACATTGTTTTGCCATGTAAATAAATTATTGAAAAAGAATTTTGGAATGCACCCATAAAGTGTTTCACAGGTAGAAACAGTTTGTATGGGAAAATAAAATTGTTGCTATTTCTATTTTCCATGAAATTTTTCCATAATTTCTGATTGTTTAAACATTCCCTGGACTGCCGCGAATATTTCAAAACCAAGATAAGCCAAATCGGTCCAGCCGTTCTCAAGTTTTAGAGAGACTAACAAACAGACATTCATTTTTATATCTTATCCTTTAAACGAGCAATTCTTGTATATATATATATAATCGGAATCTCGGAAACGGCTCCAGCGATTTTCATGAAATTTAGTATGTGCATAGATTCGGGGGCGAAAAATCGATCTAGCTAGGTTTCATTTTTAGAAAATGCCCTTTTATCCCTGTTTTCAGGGAATGAAAAATATAATTCGAATATGACGGTAAATTTCGCCGCAAGAGAAAATGTCATAATAGCTCGGTCGGTAATCGGGCGGCCCTAAAACAGACGGTCGTGGTTCGCGTCACGATCATTTACACATTTATTTTTTTACTTTTTTTTCGATTCCAGATTGCTTTCTTTATTTTTAATTTTTTGTCGATTTGTTATTTTGTTATTTTTTTCCCTCTTTTTTTAAAGTTCTTTCTTTTGTGAAAAACATCAGTTCATATTTTCTTATTATTACTTTGGTAAGATCGAAAAATACTATGCATATTTCATTACTCAGTAATTTGTATCTAAATGTAATTTCCAAAATACACGATTTACCAAAAAAAAAACACAAAACGAGCAAAGCTCGGTCCTCCGGGTACTATAAGATAAATGGGTGTAAGTTAATGTTTTTGTTTTATTTTTATAGACTGCTCTATATTTTTATAATAAAATACTGATTAAGGTTATGTTGAAATAATAGTTTTTGGATGTGTATATGATAACCTCTCTATTATCATTTACTGAATATCAGCAGAGGTATTAAATAACTTTATTTGCAATCAAATTATGTACATAACTTCCCAAGTTAACATTATGAAGTAGCAATATTTAATAAATTTATCCCCGATAGAATATAAAATTTACTTAGATTTTTGTTTACCTAACGCCAGCATCACTACATATATAAAAATTAATATCTTAATATTTTGTCTATGCAGACTGCATGCAACAGGTTTTAATGAATATTTTATGATAAAACTTGTTGGAAAATGGTAAAAACTTATTGTAAAGATGTGTCATAGAATGGGTCAAGTAACATTGGGCCATTAGCACCCAAAATGCATTAACCACTAAGCTAAACCGAAGGTCGCCATAGGTTCGATTGCCGCAGCGGAGCAAATATTTTCGTCCCTTTTCTACAAATTTGATTGTTTCGTCTAAGTATGTGATAAGCACTATAAAAATTTAAAAATATTTATAAAAGAGATAAACTTTAAAAATTTTGCTTAAGATTCTTAAATATTTTCTTTAGCACAGAAGGCATTGAAATCTAGTTGATGGTTACAATTTCCTCTCATCACAGACATTTAAATTAAAGGATTTTTAAGTATTTCAATAGCAGTTAATGTTTTGACCATTATAAAAGTTCAGCAAATTGTAAATTTTTAAATACAGCATGTCCGTTACAACCGCAACAATAAATGAACAACATATCGAGGATTACTTACTTTACTTTTTAAAATTGTATTAAGCATTTACATTCTTTGAACATCTATATTAACAGAGTTATTAAATGTTCCAAAACAAACAATTCAGAACACCCTTAGGTATAAAACTGTAACATAAAGTACATTTGTAAAGGCCACAAAGCATATGAATGAGTTGAATTAATTTAAAAGAGATAAAACATACTGTTAGAAAGAGAGATTTAATGCGACACTGTGGCAACAAATGAAAGTCTCTGAATGTATGAATCAGTCAGTTGTAGTTGTATGGGTGTTCCAAATTTTGTTTCTTTTTTATTTAATTAGTTTGTATGAAAAATATTTTTTTTAATTATGGATTTTTTTAATGTTTATATTTTTTATGATTATTGGCAAGTAGTGAGTTAGACGTGTGTTCATTTATGGTCGCGATTGTAACAACACACTGTATAATAATAGAATAGTCTCTGAATTCCATATAAATATTTGATATAGGAACCTGTCTTCAACTGTGGTAGGGCCAAGCAGCAGCCTCAGCTGTTGCACGAATGGGCTAGCTCGTCCAGTTAAGTACCACAACCTCACAGAAGACCAGGGTAAAGTGGAAGTAATATAATACTTTCGCGTTTCGTCTGGTGAGTGAGGTGGCAGGAGCCCAATTTTCAAAAGGTTGTCAACGCATCTGGAACCCTTGGGTGTAGCAGATGTCCACGGGCGGTGGCATTCACTTAACATCAAGTGAACCGTCTGCTCGCTTGGCAATTTTCACATAAAAAAAAACATAACAGTATTTCATCTATTATAATTGCATTTTAAGATTTTACTTTCAATTCCATATTCAGCAGCAAAAATTAAATTATTTATGAGCCTATAAATCCCAAAATATTACAATGGGGCCACTGTAATTCCCAATATTCCCATTACTGGGTCACCATTCCAACAATTATGCCATTGGGGCCTATATAAATAAAATAAAAAAACGTAATACTACGCAAAATAGTTAAAATAGTAATTAGTAGATTCTTTTACATAAATATTGGTGAAAATCCTCTACATTTGATCAGATATATATAAAACAGTATTAATATGCCATTTATTTTATTTTTATATTATTTAGTTTACATTACTAATTTACTCTACAAAGATTTAAAAAAAATTGTTTATTTTAATCAAAGATAAACAGCACTCATGCTGGTTATACGAACATTATACTTACAACAACCTTGACTTTTATTAAAAATAAAAAATAACTACACAGACACCCAAATAACAAAATATTAAGCTACGGCAAGCAGTACTATTGTGCATAAATATAAATTTAAAATACCATAAAAGGTCTGGAATGAAAATACTGCTTAATATATTTGTAAAAACCTCTTATTTTTTATTTATTCTTTATTGCAAACTTTAAATAAAAAGGATTACAAAGGGCGAACTTAATACCTTTTGGAATTCTCTCCCATTAAACCCGGGGCGTGGCAAAAAATCGTGGTAGGTGCAATTATTACATTAAATTATTTATATGTATTACTATATAATATTGTGTCTTAATAGAATGTAAACATAAATTATTATTACTTTATGACTGACAGTTGTAATGGTTACCTCATAAGATTTATAAATAATCTTTTAAATCTTAAAATTTATGCATAAAAACAATAACCAAATTTACCATCTTTTTCTTGAGTTTTGTCAGTTACAGCAGTGCTTCCTGTTTGTGACATGCCCTTAGACAATTCGTCCATCTTGCGTGCCACTGCCACTGATTCGTTACATCAATCACACAATACAAATAACTATACTATTCAAAATAACTTGTGACACCATTTAACCACTTCACTTTATTCAAAACTCAGTCTTTTACAAATACGATTAGTTTCTTCCATTTTAAACGCATTTCCAAATATTTCAATAACACAAGACACAAGTAAACGAAGCGAGCAATCTAATCTCTAATCTATGAAGTAGGTAAAGACTACAGAGCAAGAGCTCAGGTTATAACGACAGATAGGTCGAGTTTTTGAACGTTATTGGTCTATGGTATGTGTTCGTTTAAATAACGATATTTTCACAGATAACATATTATTTGATCATCTGGGCAATAAGACTATATCACTGAGATTTTTTTGTACAAACGTAGTTTGTGTTTGCTGTTATCCCGGTGGCTTTGATAGCCTTTTCGGAACATGTCCGTGAGAAACCACCAATGGACTCTAGAGAAACAACGTAGTTAACCATAACATTGTCCGCTCCGCTGCGACCCACTGTTAACACCACTGTTAACGAAATCTAGACAATTCATTAACAAACGGGAACATCTCACGATGCAAGGTCTTATAAGATAGAGGTTCGAACTTCGGTCAGGACGTCAGTACCGGTATCCATAGGGAAATCTATGCAGAGGAAGTATTAAACTTGAAATTACGAAAGATATATTATTTATTTCATATACATACTTTTCGTGCTTATATTATGCGATGATCAAATGACCGTATGCAGACTTGATATTAAAATAAAAATAGCAACGCAACGTAAACGATTCAAAAGTAGTATTTATATATAAAGCATGTGTATTGTACGTTTCATCATATATATGAGGTCGGTGAGTTGCATTGCGACTCTATAAATAATAACTATATAGATCTTTGAAGATCTATTGACAAAACAGTAATAGAATCATTGCCCATTCAAGTCCGTTGTTTAAAACTGACTGAATCTAAAACACATCCCCTGGAACCTTGCACTGGCTTTCAAGATTACGCTGACCTATGAATCTATTAATGTAATAGACTACCCGGGCGATACATTAATGCGCGTGACAAATGATTTAATTCTAATCGTCACGTATTTAATGGAAATGCAAAGTTTAGTGACTTTATGTATATTATATTGGTATTAGTATTACCAGATCTCAACTCAAAACCACCAAGCTAATAGTAAACTACACTACGTTTAAAAAAAAACTAACTGTGATAGTAGTGCTATACTAGGTAATTACGTATCAGTACATTCCACTGTAAAAAATATATATATTCTGTGAGTGCTGTCTATGTCTGTTGAATTTTGATTCACATTGTTATTGTTCTGTATGTGTTTGTTATATGTATTTAATTGAGTTTCGTCTGAAAATACGTCTATGCTATTAGATAAGATAAATTAAGGAATATGGAGATGATATTTGCACAGCGATAAAGTATTATAATGGGATAATTTAGTAGCAAATAATTAGTTTGGTTTTATAAATTTCATTCATTTTAATTCCACTCACGATGGAACATTTTGGTTTGTCCCATATATTGTATGAGCCAGATAAATATAGTCCTGATACATTGGACTTATTAATTGATGAAGAAGCTAGGGAATATTGGCTTAATACTTGTGAGAAACTCGTAGAAAAATACGTAAATTTTGCATTGGCAAATACAGACGATCCTACGGTGGAAATAAGAGCTTTAAAATTTAAAACATGTTACGTGGAGGCATTAAAGGAGCTTCGTGTGAATCCTGTGTAAGTAATAATGTTACAATAAAAGTCCACTTTCTACTATATTACATTTGTCCAATAAATAATTATGTTTTAAAATATTTTTTTTATTTATTGTTTTTTTATTCAATTTTAAATGGATGTCATCATAGTCATGAAACAAACATTTTAAATTTGATTACTTAGTCATCATAGAGTAAACATATTATAAGTTTAATTTTAATTTCTTTCAAATAGATGTGAACTGATAATAATTTACAGGGCTACATGTAAATTATTATAAGTATTGCTATGTAGATTGGTATAACAAGAAGTATACACATATTTCTTTTCTGATTTTAGTGCTCACGGGCAGTTGACCATAAGATTACTTCTTGATGTCAACGAAACATGCCTTCGTTCTCAGGGCTTCTTTGATTTATGGAAACAGCAAAAGAAATATGAAAATGATGCTGCACTTGCTAGTCTTAGTTCACGATTAGCTGAAATTGATGCCCTACCAAATGATAGACAAAAATGGACTGAAATTTGCAGAGGAGTTCTTGCTGGTAAACAAAAATTTTTGTTGCATTGAACTTAGGTAATAGAAAATTTTCTATTAAAGATGTTTCATATTCATAGGCAACATGTTTGACTGGGGTGCTCAGGCTGTTACAGACATACTTGACTGCGGGCTTTATGATGCTTTACAGAAGATACAAAACAGGCCATGGTTGTATGATGGCTTGGACAAATGGCTTGACAAGTTAGAGGTAAAATATAAGGCAAACTTTGTAGTCTTAGTATGTGTTTTTATAAATGTTAAATAAAATTTTACAGAAAACTGTTCACCATTGTGCAGCTGTGTTTGTGGACAACAGTGGAGTTGATATAGTTTTAGGTATCTTGCCTTTTATAAGAGCTTTATTACTAAGAGGTACCTCAGTTATACTATGTGCAAATGAATGGCCTGCACTCAATGATATTACCAATGTAGAATTAGAAGAAGTTCTTCAACATGCTTCGCTGATCTGTCCTGTGCTATCAGCAGCCTTGGCTACTGGAGATTTAGTTGTGAGATCCAGCGGGCAAAGGGGTCCATGTCTTGATCTCAGGACTATTAGTGTAGGTAAGCATTATATTAGAAATATTACTTTTATTACAATAGCTATATTATTAATCATCTATAACACCTTTTGTTTATCACTTAGGTATGGTACATCTTGTCTTTTTCTTTTCTTCTTTAAAATTTTTATTTATTTGCTATCATAACATAAACCATTCTATTTGTTTGATACTCCTTTTTTTAGCCACTTAAGTTCATATTTAACTATCCTTGATGCAGATGAGATACATCCCTTGTGAAATGCCCTTTTCACAGATAGATACTACTTAAATAATTTTCATTATAATAAGATTGATTGCTGGTAAAGTATCAGCCTATGAGTTTGGATAGACTTTTTTCTTGAATGTCTTCAAGTTCTGTCAGTTCAGAAATACTCCCAAGAAAACAAATTGATTGTTCATGACAGAAAATTCAGTGAAAACCGCACAATGGCACCATCAGAGGGTATTGAACAGAATGAATGAATGCACTTTTATTGTCCACCACAATTGAAAGTATACGCAAAAGTGACAATAGAATAACAAATTTAGGCAAATTTTCCAATTTGCCGGTTTATTGCGTCGTACGGAAGCGAAATTCAGTAGCAGGTATTCAAACAATTCTGCAGTGTACTCTCTGTGATAAATGCGATAGACTTGTAATAAGACGCAACATCTCACCGCAAGGCCAAACGTCTAGGTGATAAATGACTTCGTCGTTATAGTATGGAGGTGCTCCAACCCCGAGATGACAACAGGATACTACCGTGAAACAGAATTTATGCATTTTAGAATGGCCATGAGACACTCGGAAAAACTAAACTATCTATAGAAATCTAATGAATCGGATCCAGGGATCCAGGCTGTCAATAATAAGAGATCGACAAAAGGTTTCCTTTTTATGAAAAATCGCAAAAAATCCGAAATTGTTTAATAAAACCTCGAGTTCAGACACAATACATAGGGTTGACGTCAGAGCATCCACCCTCAATGACCTTGTACTCTGACCTGTAAGAAAACGGGTGATCCAATTGTATAATTTCTCAGGCATTGCATATGAAGTGATATTGGAAAAGTGCTTTGTGCCAAACGCGAGTAGGCTTTTGCTACAAAACTAATCGCTGACGTCGCACACTTATTCTCACCCGCCTCCTCCCATCGATGAGTTATATACATTACAAGATCATCAGCTGAGAGACCCCAGACTCAGGAATACTAACAATAGTTGATCAGCTAGTGCTCAAGCAAAGTAAGGAAGTTAATAACGGTAGATCGTCTGGAGAAAGACCCAACCTGGCAGGAGCAGCGTCAAGAGCTGATGGCTATCGTGGGACGCGACCTATTGCTTCCCGTCATGATTTGTGCTATGGTAGATAGCGGGACGTCGTGGCACCCCACGACCCCGCTGTCCACCATCCTTACATTTTGTGAGGATGTTATCAACCGGATGCTGGCCTAAGTGACGTCATACTGGCCTGCCCCATTGATAGTCGAACCGCGGGCCGGCGACGGGATTAACTGTTTCCCCGCAGACGGCTCAAGAAGGTTGTGGTGTCAATTGCACCGACATGGCACTATGTGGCGGAACTGGGTAACCTAACACTCGGAGAGACAATGCCTGCAAAGGTCGGGGTCGCGCCGGAGTTCGCGGAAGATTGCGTTTACGTGTTCCCGTCAAAAGTGGGTTTGTTTAGTGGGTACTCCGATATCGGGGACTCCCACATATACCGCTGTCTACCCACAAAGAGGTGTGGATCCATACAGGATTATCCCCATATTAAAAAAAAAATCGTAGATAGTGGGTATAGTATCAGCCATATATCTTCCCATTAAGATAAAGACATGATGGTTGTGTTATAAATTGATATCTAGTAACACTTTTTTTTCAACGTCTTGAGGACAATAATATTTAGGTGAAGGAATTTTTAGAAAATGTTTAATCCTGGCTTCGTGTTTTCTACCTCATGAACCCACTTACTTGCAAGCATTATCTTTCATGTATTTATAATCATGCAACTTTTGCAGGGCTTTGTACTGAAATGAAGGTACGAGGAGTCGACCTAATTATATTAGAAGGAATGGGCAGGGCTCTCCACACGAATTTTAACGCTCGCCTTTCTGTAGACTCGCTAAAATTGGCTGTGGTAAAGAACGCCTGGCTGGCTCAACGTTTGGGCGGGCCGCTTTTCTCCGTTATATTTATATACGAAGACAAACCCTCCGAAACATAACATTGAAATTCTGTCTACAAGCCGAACTCAAAAGTCGTGCATAATTTGTGTAAATTGTCTAAATAAATATTGTACATTACTAATGTATACCTTTGTCATTACTTCCTATCATCCATAACGATCTGTACCATGTGTTAATGTCTTGTGACATTTTACGGAATATATTGAGTGTTACCCTGAATAACGTCTATTATTTTCTTGGAGCGTTACTTCAATGTAAAAGCCTAAAAATGAGGTCTACGTAGTACCGGCGTTTGGAAAAGTTGTATAAGCAAGATAAACACAACAAACATGGGTTCTATCGTTTATTTAAATAAAAAACCTACAGCACATAATATATTTTATGAAGAAACTCTGTAATCATCAATACATACATAATTCATGAGATGTGAGGAAGTTGTGGTTGAATACAATCATTTGCCCGATCACTGTACAACAAATTGCAGAAATGTACATAGGTTATAAAAAAGGCTACCTAAATGCTAAAAAATCAACTTTCAACGAAATATTTATGTACGTATCCCATTTTTCTACACCACGTTAAGGACAGTTCTAAACTTCATGCCACATTTAGAATGGCTTAAACCAATGGTTTTCATAAAGTCAACAATTCATTAAATGTTACATCTTACGATTAGGATCGGTTGAGCCAAGCGATCATTTTGAACAATAAGTAAGCGATACCTATAGCATAAGCTATTTTTTCCTTCTGTTGACGTTGTAATTGTTCCGCTTCGATCGACATCACGCGTCGATTTAATTTGACGATTTGTCTCCGTAAATGAACCAGCTCCTCCGCCGCCGAAAGCCCTTCGCCGTTTCCCATTGGTGGTGTAGGATCTCTGAAAAAAAAAAAAGAAAAGATTATATAGTATAAAGAGATCAAACTACGTTCAAAAGTATGGAGAAAGAATGGTTCGGTGAAGAGATTCTTACATGGGACCATGAAATGAGGGTCCCACTAAATGTACGTATGCTGCGTTTTGACCCGGTTTATCATTAAGCGGACAGAACTAAAATAATTGAGACACTTGAACACCATGCCATGATCAAGATTTTTGTCAAGTCAAAATCACTGAGAGTACAATAAACGATCCTTCGTTTATAGTACTCTCAGTGATGGTAAAACATGAATTACTCGTCGAAGGCCAATTAAAGCCACAGTGTTTGATATGGTGGCTTCAATCGCCATTTTTTTATTAACACCCGACACCTTACATTTTATTTGGATTAATTGGACTAGCTTCGCATAATGAAAATCTGAACAAAATGGGTACCGAGAGTAATCATTTCTTTAAAAACTACAGCGAAATCAGAGGCGTCTTAGCACTTATTACAGCTGTGAGGTGAACCTCGACGCATTACTTCGAGGCTGAATTAAATCAATAGTTCAAAGGGCAGGGGAATATTCGTTCTGTTTTCTAAAATAAAAATAAAAAATGTCTGAATTGAACGGATTTAACCTCAGTATCCTTTGAAACACTTTTATTATAACGGCGCTGAAATAAGTCATCAAGGATAAGAGACGAGGAAAATTAAATCCCAATCAAAGTGTATCTATTTGTTGTTGAGACTACAACGAGTCGTAATAAATCGTGGGCCGAAAATTTTCTCGCGTTAAATTAATTTTGAAGTGTAAAAAGACATATAATTACAGTAAATTCACAAAAACAAATGACAAATCAATATCAAAAAGTTAACAAAGAGTTCTACATATATTCAAAATTTAAAAGTTTTCAGTGGCAATGTTTCTAACTGGCTCGTACTAAATACTTTCAGCGTGACCCTAGTATTAATATCTTTTTTTTTAAGCCAATACAACACAACGTTTAATCTTATACCTTTAAACGAGCAATTCTTGTATATATATAAACAGAATCTCGGAAACGGCTCCAGCGATTTTCATGAAATTCAGTATGTGCGTAGATTCGGAGGCGAAAAATCGATCTAGCTAGGTTTCATTTTTAGAAAATGTCCTTTTACCCCTGTTTTTAGGGAATGAAAAATATCATCCGAATATGACGGTGAATTTCGCCGAAAAAAAAAATTTTAAAATAGCTCGGTTGGTAATCACAAGACCGCGGTCCTCAAGGTACTATTTCACAATGTAGGCTGAAATTAATGTGGATAAAATGCAGTGACACTGATAGTTTTATAAAGAATATTAAAAGGCACACTCTTATTAAACCGCAGATGTTGTAATTTATTAAATATTAAAAAAATCTTTTACCCGTAAAGTGACTAACCGAAAAAGTGTTTCTTGCACAATGATTCGATTCGAACCTGCAAACTTTAATCGCAAGCCTAAGCAATACGCCTTCTTTGTATATCTTGTAATATATTTATATACACTACGCACACTTCTTGAAATACAACTCTTTTTTGTGAGAAGGTTGCGAGCTGGTGATTCACCTGATGTTGAGTTATGCCGCTCATTGACATTTGCAACACTCGTAGGGTTGCAGATGTGTTGCACCTATTAATAAAGTTGGCCCCAGGAATCTCACTCACCAGACGAAACGCAGAAGTATGACACTTCCACTTCTCGCCGGGCTTCTGTGAGGTCGTGGTACTTACCCAGACGGGCCTGCCCATTCGTGCAACTGTCTACTGCTTGATTGCACTCCCGCAATCCGGCATCAACATCATTTTAGTCTCCCCACTGTGATTTAAAGACGTGTCACAATGAGATTTGAATATCATTATCTTTGCTATTGTGTGATCGAGTATAATTAGTAATTACGAAACGACAGAACGTTATAACCATTTACAGCAATGTGATAGATATCTTTCTGTTTGATCGTAGTCATTGCACTCCGATGAATATGATACAATATACGTTTTTTATTGAAATATAAAATTCTCTTATTTTTAATAAGCATAAGGATGACACAAAGTGGGTTTTGATTTAAGAGATTTGTGTGATGGATGTCAAATAATGTTTTATAAGATAAATGCGTTTTTTTAAAAAAACCGGCCAAGTGCGAGTCGGACTCGCGCACGAAAGGTACCGTACCATTATCTAAAAAACCGCAAAAAAAAAAAATCATGTCTGTTGTATGGGAGCCCACTTAAATATTTTTTTATTCTGTTTTTTAGTTTTGAAATTTGTCGTCATAGCGGAAACAGAAATAAATAATCTGTGAAAATTTCAACTGTCTAACTATCACGGTTCATGAGTTACAGCCTGGTGACAGACAGACAGACAGACAGCGGAGTTACGAAACCCTAAAAAAACTAACTAGTTTTCATAGCTGCGATAGGAGCAACGCTGCCATTGACCCAAAGTTGTTCAAACGTAACGATTACTAAAAGTGGACCTACTGAAAATTATAGAGATATATTTAAGATATAAAGTTAATGAAAGGACTTTATTAACAGCACAAATTTCAAGACCTTTTTTGAGACGGGGTTCACGATCTCTAACACTACAGTTCGCTTATACTAATAAGTTACGAGCTCTATATTATCAGGGCCGGATTTAGAAGTCTGGAGGCCTAGAGGCAACAAAGGAGTGGAGGCCCCGTGGCCTCAAATTATTTTCCACTTATTTCTGTTAATATCTAATCATGTTTATACAAAGTACTGTAGGTAAAGGTAAAACGCGAAAAAAAAAATATGAAAGGAAAAGTTGTTTCTTAGTGTTCACTAGTCTGAATTTGAATTTTTTTCCGAAGTCTCTATTGTGGGTGCCCCTCTTTTGTGGAGGCCCTGGGGCTGTGGCCCGGGTTGCCCTCCAATAAATCCGGCCTTGTATGTTACGAAATCGCGTATACAACATTTTTTATGTATTCAGGTGTATTACAATATATTAGGCACACCTATGATCTAGGGCTATATTTATATTTATTTATACTTTATGCACAAGCTGTACAGAGGCGGACTTAATGCCACAGGCATTATCTCCTAGTCAACCTTGGGGTGGTACAGAGAAGATTCGGTAGGTGCACAGAAAGATGTCAAAAGAAATAAAGAAAACACTGTTAAAATATAAACTGTTGTAAATGAAAGTATATACACATGTTAATTATAGTACATATATAATAAATACTACCAGGTGTATGTACATACATACTAATACATAAATATCTTACTAAATATATGCATAAAATCATATATACATACATAAATAAATGTATACATACAATTATAAATACATATATACAAATACAAATACAAATACAAAAATGTTTATTTCATTAACATATTTCTTTTACAGTTAATAAATATTTGGAGCTACCTTTTAAGCAACAGTTTTGCTTGTGTTAGGCAGCACCGCTCTTCCATAGCATACTTATAATAAACTTAACTAAGTGCAGTACAAATTTTAAAACTAATTTCAAAAATAAAATAAAATAAAAACATTTTCTCTCCGTGTGAATGTATGTTAGTGTATGTGTTAGTATATGTGTTAGTGTGTGTATGTTAGTGTGTGTGTTCGTGTGTGTGTTTGTGTTAACTCAACATCAACTCAATTTCAGCGTAATTTTTTAGCTTTTAGCCATTCCATAACTGCAATTTTGCATTTTGTGTATGTCATTTCATAAATATTTAGTTCTTTATTAATTTTATTGTATAAGACAATAGCTCTTGTGACATATTGCCTCTTAGCAAAAACTGAATTTGCTCGTGTATGTTGCACCACGTTACATTTTCTTCTAGAATTATTATCTACATGTTGGTAAGGAAGCGATTTGTGTTTACTCAGCACAGTGTTCAAAAAATATATAATTTTCTAACAGTTAATAAATCAGTAGAAGAGTAAAGTAAGTCTGTTGAGAATTCTCTTGGCTTAAAATAGATAACCTTCAGCAATGATCTCTGAGCTCTCTCCAAGTCTAAAAATCTAGTTTTGACTGCCCCCCCCCCACACAGTTATGCAATACGTCAAGACAGATTGTGCTAGAGATATATATGTTAGACGGGATAGGTGTTCAGAAGCCACATGCCGTAATGTTTTAAAAGTCCATATAAGTTTTCTTATTCTAATCAAAAGAAGTTCAATGTGACCATGCCATGACAGTCGCTGATCAAGTATAACACCTAAGTATTTTGTACTAGTTACTCTTTTAAGTTCGGCACAGGAGCAAGAGAATGTAGAATCTTTATCACATTGGTGGACAACTATTCGAAAATCAAGCGATGGTTGGCCGCATTTGTTTTTGGTGAAACAAATATAGTTACTTTTTTGAACATTAAGTGACAAAAGATTTGTGTTCAGCCAAGTAGCAATATTAGCCAATCCCGTTTCAGCCCGTGATTTTAGACTTTCCCAATCCTTAGCTGTAAAAGCAATAGCTGTGTCATCCGCATACGAAAAAATGTGACCTCCATCAATTTGCATATTACAGAGCTTATTTATGTAAACAAGAAACAAAGTAGGACCCAGCACAGTGCCCTGAGGCACCCCATAATTAACAGAACACTCAGAACTTAATCTTAACCCTACTCTGACTCGCGAATTACGATTAGTTAGGTAACTCTCTAGTAGTTTAAGCGGATTTCCCCTAATACCTGCTTCGCAAAGATTACGCAGAAGAATTGGTATGGACACCGTGTCAAAGGCTTTTTTTAAGTCGAGAAAGACCGTCAAGCACTTGTTACCAGCATCAACATTTTCAACAATAGCGGAAGTCAGAGCCAAGACAGCGTCTTCAGTAGAAAGGTTTTTCCGAAATCCGTATTGGGACTTAGAAAATACATTATACTTAGAGAAAAAAATTTACTAAACGAATATTTATTAATTTTTCTAAAATCTTTGCAATCACAGATATTGTAGATATCGGCCTAAAGTTAGATGGATCTGTTTTTTGTCCACTTTTATGCACAGGTGTAATAAGTGTTTGTTTTAGTGCAATTGGAAAAACTCCCCACTCAAAACATTGATTAGCGAGATGAGCTAGAATAGGTATTATCTCATTAGAAGCTAACTTTAAAAAGCGAGTCGGTATGTTATCCCACCCAGGAGCACTATCGGACTTCATAGACATAAGGACGGTGTAAACCTCTTCGGGATCGGTATTTATGAGAGCAAATGATGTCTTCAAAGGGATGGTTTGATCGGCGCTAATTTTCGCCCTGGGAGGGGGAACACTTTCGGCCAATTGTCCTCCAATAGTAGCAAAATACGTGTTGACTTTATCTAGAGACTCTTGTGGGGTTGATGCAATATTGAGTAGTTCAAGGCTTTGTAATTTAGGTGGTTTACGTTGAGTTATGTTGTTAACTGTGTTCCATAGCTTTTTTGGATTTTTAACGGCATTTTCTAATTGCATCCTATCATAAACACGTTTTAATTTTTTTATAATTTTAGTACAAAAGTTGCGATAACGTTTGTATGTTACTTTGAGTGTCTGATTTTCTGGATCTAATCTTAATTTGGTCTGCATGTCGTTTCTGTTCCTAATGCAACGTAGCACACCCGCGGTCATCCAAGGCTTAAGAATTCGCTTTCTCCCAGGAACTGTATATGTGAGAGTATTTGAAGTAAGACATTGTTGTAAAGTTGTTATCAAGCCTTGTGTATATAAGATTAGGATCAGCCAGGGAAAGCAAGTTATTGAGTTTTGCCATTTGAAGGTGTTCCATCGCCTTACCATAATTTATGACTTTCTTAATCTTTTTATTTAAATTTGATTGATTATTATTAACAGTAAGTATATTTAGAACAATCATAGAGTGATCAGTTATTGTTGTGTCTAGAACAGCTATAGTTGCACTTTTATAACGACTATCTAACTTAATTATAAAATGATCAAGGCAATTAAGACCCCTTGTAGGTAGAACATGGCCTGGAAGCATGCTATGTGTTGCAAGCATATTCAAATAGTTTAATCTATTTGAGCGACATTGAGATGATTCATCAGGGTAGTATATTAAATTTATATTAATATCGCCTGTAAGAATAACATTTTTATTTTGTTTAATAGTGTCCAAGTATAAGTTTAGGGAATTTATAAATTCATTCGCGTTTGATATCGATGGTGAGCGATATATTCCAATAATAATAGTGTTTTCAATATTTATTTGGAGACCGGATGCATATTTCAAGTAAATTTCTTTGACAGAAACTTTGCGTGTGTTCTTTATAAAGGCAACTACTCCATCAGCCTTGTTGATATGTTTAGTGGTGTGATACGATGAATAATTGTTTATTTGAGGTATATTTTTATTTGAGTCTAGTCTACATTCACTTAAAATAATCGCATCAGTCTCAAACTTAAAGTTACTCAAATTTAAGCACAGGTCATTAAAATTGGCATAAACACTACGTATATTTTGTGAAATTACTGTAAGATCAGATGCTTGTATTTTGATGACAGAAGAGAGTTTCTCACTCTGGCATTTAAATGATGTCGCTATTTCTATATGGTCTATTTCATTTATGTTTGTTAAAGAGTTATTCATTTAAAGTTTGTTAATAATGAAAGTTTGGCAAGTATAGTCATCATCGATCGTTTAAAAATCATCATCGCACTATAAAACAAGATAGTATTTAAATAATTGTCTATGTATATGTTAGTATTAGAGTGGGTGCACTTATTACCGATAAAACTTAGGTATGGGTATGAGATTACATAGTTTATAATCAATGGAGTAGGCATGTGATATATGTGTATGTGTGTAAGTGTTGTAATAATTATTTGTTTACTTTTATATAAGAATATGTTCCAAGAAAAATTAACTGCAAAATAGAGATAAAACAAAGTTACAACTTTATATAGTCAGCTTGTTAACATTAAGTTTTGTAGTGTCTCACTCTTAATAAGAATTACAGGTGTATTTTCATCTTTTCGTAGATATACTCGCCCGTAAGAGGTCCAACAAAATTTAAAATTTCTTGACTTTGCGACGTCGCGAGCTAAGAAGAACAGTCGAGCTCCCTTTGCAGTGAGTTGCTCAGAGACAAATACATATCCATAAATAAATTCTGACAATTAACGATGGAGTTGACCTGCCGACAAGTTTTTGAGGATGTGCTCACGTGCTTTTTTTTTAAATACAAAGCGACTATTAGCCAACCTGATTTTGAGAGGTAGCTCATTCCACAGAAGGATAGACTGGATAAAGAAGGAAGAATGCATGAATTCAGAACGGTGAGGAGGACATACGAGAAGACGATTATGCGAGGAGCGAAGGTTTTTATTGCTAACGGCACATATATATTGGAAATGATGGGATAAGTAAGTCGGAAAAGAAGAAGAGTTCAGGAAAGAGTATAGAGTAGTCAGTGCTCTTAGAGAGCGTCGTTGACGTATGGGTAGCCACTGAAGTTGAGCACGGTAAGTAGATACATGGTCATACTTGCGAAGATTGAAAACGAATCGAATGCAGTTATTCAGAAGTCGGTCGAGTTTATTGAGTTGATCTGCATATATTCACAGCATCCAGTTACCAATTAGACAGTCCCAAGAGAAAGAGCATTATAATGGCTCAACATGAAGGCGCATGCTATATGCGCAATTTTAAAATTTAGAAAGGAAACGAAAACGAAAACGGGTTCAGCAATCAAGCTTAAAATTGGAACAAAATCTAGTAATCACAATTATTACAATTGTACCTCAAGACTAAAATAGATCTTCTAGGTCGCATTTGTTGTTGGGCCGTACTACCGAACTCCTTCTAAATTTCATAATCAAATCATGGTACCTCAAGATTAGCCGAGACTCCGTCATGGTGGACTCGTTGAAGTTGTCGCAGCGTGGGGTGACGGCCCTGGCGCCATCACCTTGTGACCGTATCGTGCGCACGTGTCGCGGCGGGGACGTCGCCGCGTCAGCGGGGAAATCATCGGCCGACGGGAAGTAGTGTTGGTCCAGGGTAATCACCCGGGGCGGCGTGTTCACGCGGATCATGCCAGGGTCCGTCGGGAGCACTGCATTGTCTAGCTGGATTTCCCTGGGAGGCGCCTTAGTGCCTGAACAAAGAGGACAACCAAAGTGCTCAGCAATTTTTTTTTGCATGCTGAAGCAAATTGAAGGAAAAAATTTTGACCGCCTGAATAAACTATAGTTCATTTTACCTAGATTTGCTCAGAAAAGAACCTGTAAGACCTAGTAGTCTTGTTTGTACACAGATTTTTTCTTAAAAATAAAGGCCTATGGTTATTTTTCCTTCTAGTATTTTGAAAGGTAATTAATATAACTGTTACCTATGTGCTGGTCTTGTCCAACAACTAGTATCCTCTCTGGTACTTTCATATCAAATTTTTCATTTGCATAATCCCATCCACTTACTAACCCATTGGGTGTATTTTCATCATCAACTATGTCACCTGTAGCCTAAAAATTTACGATTATAAGTACTTTGTACAGTCATTGTTCTGAAAACAGAACTTGAACTAAATTCAATTAAATCAAAAATTAAATAAGTAAAATAAGGTTTAAATTAATGCTAACTTATGCTTGGATAAAACCGTTTAAAAACTTTTAAGTTAAACGGTTTTATTTTCTGTTTTTTTTTTTGTGCACTGAAAACTACAATATTGTATTGTCATCTAAATTAAATGTGTGTACCAAATTTCAGATCAATCTGAAAACGGGAAGGTGCTTAAATTTCAATTTCTAATTTTGACCCAAATAAATAAATAAATTCCGTACATGTCAAGCTAAATAAAACCGTTTAAAAATTAGTCTCATTTGACCAAAAAATAATTTATTATTGAAAAACATTTAAAATAATATTAAAACCCTAGCACAATAAGGATTTAACACAAGCCTAAATATATATCATAATAGTATAGGAATATTATTGACAAATATATATAAATGTTTTTAACTAAAATAAACTAATAAAATTTTTGGAATTTATAAGCATTAAATAATATTTCATTTAAAAATTAATTTTCACATTTAAAAACAAAAATTTAGTTTCATTTGATGATACTGATCAGGTGGTCAGTGAAATAAAATTCACTAATTATTAAGATTATTGTAATGAAGCAAATTTAAACAAACTATAATAGAATAATCTTAATAAGATTATTCTATGATAGTTTGTTTAAATTTGTATTAATTCAGTTTCTGTCATTATTATTTTAAATAAATTACCTTAATTCTTTGTGGCACAGTCATGTTATGGCTAATGAGCCGTGCATATGCTTCTTCAGATGTAAACTGCATCATTGCTACCTTAAAAAAAATATGTTGAAAAATGTTTTCAGTTACGTTTCTTTCAAATCTTGTCGCTATTTTTTCTAATAAAAGAATATTGGAAGTTATTATAAATGTACCTACAATGGAATGTATTGGATATTTACGTCATTTATGTGAGATCAAGCTACCTTATCTCACTACAGAGAATTTAAAATGATGAGATGTTAGTTCAAGGAATACATAAATAAAGTAGATACTCACAATATTGTCTATCTTGTATTTAAGTTTATTCCATTTGTAATAAATTAATGAAATAAATAAGTAGTCCGAAGTACTTCAAGTAGGAATTGACAGAAACAAATTGATACAGTGGTGGTAGACCTAGAAACTCAAAGTACAGATAAAAAAGTAATTTAAAAAATATCTTATGCTTTATCTAATAATATCAAAACAAAATAAAGGCATGTAAAAGTTTTATATTGAATTTGTTATCGTTTATCGCATAAAGTCGAATACATTTTTCTTCAACATACGCAATATTTCCTAAGTTAATGTAATCATCATATTTATCATTTAGTCATTTACTTCGGATTTTCTAATGAAAAAAAGAATTAAAAGGTCAGTGATAAATCAATAGGATTTATCACTGATCTTTTTAACAAGTACTGATTTATATTAAATCCGTTGACGATTGTTAAAAAAGTGTTAAAATCAATATGCTTTTTTTATTAATTATCTGAAAAGTTTTTGTGTTTAATTTTAATTATTATTAAAAGTCGTTATTTTCTTAACATATCTGCTTAAAAACGTGTAAAACGTTTCAAAATGTTTATTAGGTTATATTTCCGAATGCATTATCAAGTATCATGGTCGCCGGTCGCCGTGGTCATCTGTCATTGGCGGTTTTGTTCACTGTGGTCTGTGCTGTGATAGTTATGGATTTATTTTCTATCAAGTTAATCGTTAAATAATTAAAATTAATTCAAAAAGAATGTATAAATTATTAAAAACATTACCTTAATTAATATTTATAGTAATCAACATATTCAATAAAGTTTTTTAATTGATTTATAAACAATGAGAGTCACCGGCCTGAAACTTTGTTTAGTACTTTTATCCCACGTTCTTGTTTTGGTATCCTCCGATTCTGAGCCACCGAAGCGAGATGAAAAGAAAGCTAAAGGTGTTACAACTTTTGTAACAGCAAAATGGGAGGCTACTCCAATTGTCTTAGAACTCGCCGAATATCTCTCTGGCGAAAGCTCCGATCTGTTCTGGTCATTTGTTGATGGAGTAAATTCCTTAAAAGCACCCTTACATAGTTTAGGTAAGTTTTAAGTGAAAACAATTTGAATATAATACTTAATAAAATTAATGATTTAAAAATATTTAAGTTGGTTCAATGATGCAAAAAAAATTGTCATTTTCTTTTTAAATTCATAATAATTTCAATTTAACTCTTGTATACATATGTCTTATATCGTATGACATATCTGTACAACAGAAAATCTTCTAAATAATTGTGACATGATTAAAAAGAGTAACTATATACAATATGACATGTAACAGTAAATAAATTCGACATTTATCTTTTATACTTAACAATTAGAATAAAACTTTTGTTATAGAGACAGATAAGCAGATTTATGATGCATGTATTGCTATTGCCAGTACTTTGTTGGCCCCAGAACAGTTACGAATGGCTAAACTAGCCCTCTCTATGCATTTAACCTCACCAACTGTTCGTATGTTTGATGAAATTGCCATACAAAATGGAGCCAAGGCTGTACCATGTGATACCTATGTGGATATTGCTTCAAGGAAAATATGTGATACAGATGCTTTACGTGACATCCTTAAAGTGTATAACCAGTATGACCCAGTAAGCTCTTTTTTGTCCTCTGTATAGAAAAGATTTTTTATAAAATAAAGTATAACACCAAAATAGAAATATTAATAATTTGCATATTGGTTGTAAAAATAGTTCACCATTAAAATTAAAACAATATGAGAATATTAAATTGAAAGATACTCAGATCAATCTTAATCAAAAACCCTTAAAACAGTTTATAATATTTTTAATTTCTCCTTTCAGGCTGAATATGGTTTGGAGACTTATTTATTGGATCATTCCTACCTAAGCAGTGACAATAAAAGCCTTACAGCTATTTTATATGGGGAATTGGGGAGCACAGACTTCACAAACAAGCATAAAATTCTTGCTTCATATGCAGATATGGGTGCAATTAACTATATAGTAAGATGGAATGTAAAGGTATTATAGTATTTTGTTATTTTTTGTTTTAGTAAATAATATTACTTAGGTGTTTATAAATTTTTAAGAATATATTATATTAAGCATTAACTTAAGAAAAAACTTACTATAAAGGCACTTCTATTTTACCCAATCCTTAATTTCTTAGTAAAATTGATTTTTATGTGCTCAAATGTAATTTCATTTTGATTTTATTATGTGGAACTATTCTTTTAGCCACATGGTAGACCCAAATTACGCCTTTCTGGCTATGGAGTAGAGTTACAGCTTAAAAGTACAGAGTATAAAAGTCAGGATGATACAACACCCAAAGAGTCTGATGCTGGTGATACTGTAGATCCTTCTGTAGAGGAAGATGAAAATGATCCACAGAATCAAATAGATGGTTTTAATTTTGGAAGACTCAAGTAAGTTTTGATTTTCTTTTAATAAATGTTAATTACAAATTGTGCCTTATTAATTCTATCGTAATATGTATTCTGGTGTCCAAAGAAATGGTACAATTAGTAAAATGTTTCTGAAATGTTGTCTGAAATTCTGTGTACAATTTAGTAATAAATAATTATAATATTTTATTATTTAGTATCTTCTATGAAAAATGATAATAAGATTAATTAAATAATTAGATTTGATGGAAGATTATATTAGAAGGCAATACCATTGAAATAGTTGGAACACACCTTGTCAAGTGTGTTCCAACTATTTCAAGGCTATTTCAAGGCTCACCATACTCATATCTTTAAGACAATTACTTGTCTTAAAGATATGAGTATGGTGAGTCTTACAAGTTTCAGGGCTAAAAAGAGGAAATCTGTATTTGTGCCTTTAAAACAATGTAAAACATGACTGAGGTCATTGATAAAAATTATGTTGTACTTTATGGAATTTAAAAATATAGGAAGAGTATCATGTTAATATACAGCTTGTCTTTGCCGCGATAATAAATTAACACACGTCTAACGCTACTTGCCAATAATCATAAAAAAATATAAAACGTTAAAAAAATCCATAATTAAAAAATATATTTTTCAAACAAACTAATTAATTAAAAAAGAAACAAAATTAGTAACATCCTATATAACTACAACTGACTGATTCATACATTCAGAAACTTTTTCATTTGTTGCCGCAGTGTGGCATTACAAATCTTTCCTTCTAACAGTATGTTTTATCTCTTTCAAATTTATTCAACCCATTCAACCCATTCATATGCTTTGTGATCTTTACGTTACCGTTTTATACGTAAGGGTGTTCTAAAATTGTTTGTTTTGGAAAATTTAATAACTCGGTAAATATTGATGTTTAAAGAATGAAAATGTACAATTTTTAAAAGTTATTCTCTATATGTGTGTTTATTTATTATGGCGATGGTAACGACACGCTGTATAAGAGATAATGCCTTTGTAGGAACCTCTTCCCCGCTTTGCGGACACCGCTGGAGCGATTCCGACGACATTTATCAGAGTCGAGTGAAGAGCTTGCGCCACTGAAAGTTTGGCAGATGCAGGCGCTTAGTATGCAGGCGGCTGCGGCCGTCATGGACGCGCATGATGCCGGTGGCGACGAAGCCCTTAGAGTGCTTACTTCTATTGCACAAAACTTTCCAATGCAGGTAGCAATTATTATTTATTTTGTTCTTGCCAAATATCCTACAAGTCGGTAAATAATATGTTCTTTACCGCTGTTTTGGTTTCGTCCATCGCTCAAATCCTATTTGACTGAATGAGAATACTTTTCAACATTGGGTTTGTTTTTTTGTATTTTTTTTTTGTGAGAAAAACAATGTATTTAAAAACTTTTTGGCGAGAGACGATTATTTTTTATCAAGATCTAACAATGAATGATGTATTGAAATACAAAGATTTATACAACTATTACATAATATACACAAAGAGAAATTTAAAATGTGTAGGTAATTATTGCAATAAAAACAAAACGTAGATAAGACGTCGAGATTTTCTCGCTATGAGCGTTTGGGTGCGTTACTCGCAAGGCGCAGTTTCGAATTCTGACAACGACCAAAAATATATTCTACACATGTCATTTAATTTAAAAAAATTATATTTTTATAATATCAGCGTAATAGCCCCATAATTGAACTGTCATACAATAATTGCATAAATGACCTTATGATTGGAGAAATTATAAATCAGATTGAGTTTTAATTCTATATAAAACATAGACATAGACATAGACATAAACTTTATTTTGACAACCAACAAACAGCACAAAAGATTCAAAAAAAAAATGACATGAACATAACATATTGATAAATAAAAAAATAACATAAATAAATAAATAATAATGGCGGATGATTTCATGTATGTTAGTTTAACGACAACTTCTAATTTACATAGAAAATAAAAGTTGAATATCAGTATTAAATCGTCTTAATTCTGTTCTATTGCTTCAATCGGTTGACTTGGTTTGTTCTAGACAAAGTCCCTCATTCACGTGAACGTACCGCGCTCCTTCCGCGACGAGGTCCTGTACAATCAGGACGTGTGGTCTTCGTCGTTGGGGCTGCGGCCCGCGGAGCCCCTGCTCCTGGTCTCCGGCGCGCAGTACGATGCCGAGGAGGTGGATGTTATGGCGCTTCTGGCCGCATTACGAGAAGACGTCGGTCCCATGAACACCTTGCACGCCCTCGGTGAGACCCTGTTTTCGGGTTTCGTCAACTTTTTCCATTCATTCTTGATCTTTGTCTGACATTTTATCTTTTCATTTTGAAGAACTGATTGAAAATGTGCGAGAATTTTCAGTACTAGAATGTTAGGCCTTATTATTTCACATGATTAACTTGATTAATTAATGATTAACTTGATATCTTTTGTATATACTTCCGTCCAGTGTTAATATAAATTCATCCATAGTCATTCAAAACATTCACTCATAGTAGTGTGTAGACTGTAGACTGCTCCAATAATGACTATTTTAATATAAGGTCAATATTATGTATTGTTTAATGAAACAATGTGAGCTTCTCTCATTTAATTTTAATTCTTCTCTCAAATAATTTGATCCCTGCGAGACAGGTTGCTACCTAGTGCAGGGTTCAGTATGCAAATGTGAACACGATTTATAAACGTACTTACTGTGCTTAATACTGTAAATGATGTTTTTGTTCTCTACTATTTGTTTAAATAAAGCTTTATTATTATATTATTATTATAATTTAAATAGCAACATATTACAGCATTCTTGGTCACTGGATGGACACTATCTGTAGAAATAGTACCATTTAAAAACAGAATAAATGCATCAAAAAAAATTGTTTCACAATGCTTCTAAAGTAAAGGAAGTTGTCATTTCAAGTATTTTGTAAGATAATCAAGTTGGTATGGAACTATATACTATATGATAAGTGTCACAAGGTGTCACAGAGAGATACTTAATGATCAGTAAAGCCTATTAACTCTTGGCTCTTAAAGTCCTTTGCGATTATTTAGACCGTCAAACGAACGCCAGCATTGATTCTATTTTATGAAAGAGCAATGAAACTTATTTATGTTGTGAACACATTATACAATTTGTTACAGTTTAAATCAAAGATCATAAAAATGATATTTGATACATTATTTCAATAGGATTGTAATAATAGCTTCTGTGACAATATTCATTCATCTTCACTTTTTTTTTGACACATTTTAGGTCTACCGAAGAAACTTATCAACAAACTCATGTCCATGGAGCTTGGCGAAGCTTACACGTGGGAGGAATATGGTCTTGATATACGCGACACGTCGATCACGTGGCTGAACGATTTGGAGAACGACGACCAATACCGGCGCTGGCCATCCTCCTATATGGAACTGTTGAGGCCCACATATCCAGGGGTGCTGAGGAACCTGAGAAGAAATATCTATAACTACGTCAGTATTTACATTTATCTATATTTTCGTAGTGGTCGGCTTAAATTTTACAGAAACATCGGCATAAATTAAGTAATATTGTAAATTTGTGAATGTAATTAAAAAGTATTATTTACATATATTATTTATTGGGATTTTATGTTAAACTTGAATTTTTTTCCGACTTTTCCACTTTTTTGGGCTGACTCATCCGACATTAAGGAGTTTATTTGTAAAAATATTAGTTAAACAAGTTTTTATGAAAGAAATTATTTTTGTTTGAAAACATACGATGAATCATGTTGTTGAAGAAATTGCAATAATAAATGTTTTGTTTGTTTAATTATATTTTATTTAAATATATTATTATACAAACATTTTGGTTTTATAAAGAATTTTCATTCAATCAATCGACCTTTTCCCACCAGGTGATAGTCGTGGATCCGACGTCCGTCGCCTCGGGCCCGCCGATGAAGCTCGCCGAGACCCTGCTGAAGCACTCGACGCCAGTTCGCGTGGGCATAGTGCTGGTGCCCAAAGGGGCGCCCCTCTCCGCTGCAGTCCGCTCCGCCTTTAATTACGTGGCGCAGGAAAAGAACTCCAACAAGGAGGCGTTCTATTTCCTTACGCAGGTACGTTGCGTGAATGCCGCAACGGCATACAATGCACTTATTTAACGGACTATGATTATGATTAGTGGAAGGGTCTGAGTAGTAAGACTTAGATCTATTGTAGTCTTCCCTATGAAAACATTGCGAGTTACTACAGGATAAAATTATCCTGTGTTGTAAAGACGTTTTGCATACATAAACTTCACCTGGACAAAACGTAACTGCTTAACAGATGTAACGTTACTACTTAACGGAGTTATCGAGACAGCTTAACAGATGTAACGTAGATGTTATACGGACTTATCGTAAATATTTAATGAGCTTTTAAACAACTACTGTACGGATATAAAGCATCTACTTAGCGCGTAACGTAATTTCTTAGCTATAACAGGCTTAACGAAACTAATTTACGAAACTCGCGTTATTAGTTAACAAACGTAACGTAGATATTTAACATTTAACTGTAACTTAATTTCTTAACGGGATTAACGAAACTATTTTACGAACACCGCGTAATAAATTAACGAAACTAACCTAGCTACTTAACGAACTTAACGTAAATACTTAACGGATTTGACGTAATTATACTTAAAAGGCGTGACGTAGTATAAATACTTCATGGACATGGCTCTTATCCGATATCATTTATTTAAGTCCGCCTATGATTTGTATCTCTTCTGATATTAAGAAAGTCACTTACCATTTGGAATGCTTGCATGTTTGCCAACTCTTCCAAAAAATGGATCTTACCATTCCATGTGACGTGATAATCGCGGACGCTCCATGGAATAACCGAAACTATTTTTACGCATTTAATCAAGCTTAGTTTAAATTTCAGTACTCCAAACCCAATTTAAATATATATAATAACACTTTTAAATTTCGAAAATCATATAATGGAATGAATAGTAGGTAGTAGACCACAGAGTTGTTTTTTGTGGACAAATTTATAGGAATGGAGTTTAGCGGTCGCTAATCTAGTCTGTTTAAAATATATGCTCGCAATAATCCTATCTAAATAAAGCAGTTTACACATCACTATGCTATTAATACTACAATATTTTTTTTATATTAAAATACAAAAATGCTAATAATATGCTAATAATATGCTATTAATAAATAAAGCAGTTTACACATCACTATGCTATTAATACAAAAAATTACCAAGTAATTGAAGAGATAAACTTACGAGAATGTTTAATTTAAATTATCCAATACAATTGTTTTTCTTACCTGTTTTTATTGTACCCTACTGCTTTAACTAGTCAATCGTTTGTCAGTGTGGCAATCAGCTATTTATCTTAGTGGTTAAAGCGACAGGGCACGATACTGGAAGATACGGGTTCGATTCCAACGGCAGCGAAACTATTCGTCCTTATGTCTACAAACTTTAATGTTTGATGTTAAGTTTAGAGATTGCCAAAATTTTGTGAATTATAGGAAACTGAGTTAAAATTCTAATTATTATGCTTTCGTGGTATCTGCTGCAATACTCTTTTAAATACAATGATTTTTTTTATTATATTTTTTTTCAGTTGATACACACCGCTCAAGATGACAAAATAACGTTGGAGCAAGTGAAAAAACAATTGAGGAAATACGTTAGCTCCGGCACAAATGTCGATGAAATTGTTTCCGAGGATTCCGAATATAACTTTGGTCACCAATTAGCTGAAGAGTTCATTAGCAAAATCGATAGCAACAATTATCCTTTGGTAAGTAAAGTAAAACCAAGTGACATAATAAATAACTGTAACTTTTCACTTAGGTGGTGGTTTTATTATGGCACATTTAAACTTGTTCAAATTACACCGGCCCAACAATCCGTTGTTTAAATCAGACATCGGCATCTTTGAAATATCACTCGGGCACTTGGCGCATGTTTTGATTAACGGCGTGCCGCTGTAGATATTTCTCGAGTCGACTTTTGCACTCGACGGTACACGTGCAGACGTCGGCATGTTTTAAAAACATCACTCGACGGTACACGCGAAGTCGAACTGAACAGCTTCACTCGGGCACTTGGCGCAGGTGCTGATCAACGGCGTGCCGCTGTGGGACGAGGGGCCGGCCGCGTCGTCGGTGACGTCATCGGTGGAGCTGCTCGAGGAGGCGCTGGTGAGGATGCTGTCGCGGCAAACGGCGCGGCTGCAGCGCACAGTGTTCCGCTCCGAGCTGGCGGACAGCGAGGACGCCGTCGACCACCTCATGAAGCAGCCGCACATCATGCCCAGGTGCTTGCGTGCGATGACGGGTCGGCTAAAATCTCTTCCCAACAAATACCTCGGCTTTGGAGGAGTTCAAATTAAAATATCTTTATTCAATGTAGAAGGACTTAATTGATTGTCAAAAAACGCTACTACCGGTTCGGAAAAAAGCCACTGACCTGAGAAGAACCGACGAAAGAAACGCAGCGGGACGATTTTCTTTTAATGTAATTTTACAAAAAAAAACGCACATGACAGAGCCACACATGAAAGAGCCCGGAGCGATGGATTAATTTCCAGTGTGTTATCGTTTAAATAATCACTAATATTATAATAGTCTTTAATACACAAAAGTACCTTTACAAGTATTTTGAAATTAGCAACTGATTCTTTTTGGACGTGTTGACGTAAAAACTTACCTATCCGTTATTCCATAAAAGATTTACTCATTCTACGCAATCTAGATGAGGGAAAACAAGTAGTTAGTCTGAAAACAAATATTAAACCCTTTACATTCTATTTCATTCACACTTATAATTTTTTTATACTTTTTGTAAACCGTGTTACCCAGACTCGTTTTTACTGAAACAATGACACGGCAGATCAGGTAACACGGATTTGATTAACCTAAAAAATTTAAGGTGCCGGTTCATGGGGAGCGGTATAACTTAACATCAGGTGAACCGTCGGCTCACTTGCCAACTATTGACATAAAAGATTACCACTAAGCAAATGCTTTAAGTAGTTTTTGTAAACGACGATTTTTTAGGTAAAGAGATTTTTTTTAAATTAAATATCAAGGGACAGAATATTATAGTCTAACGATAACTTAACAATCGTAGAAGGAGGCTTTATTGTTTTTAAATGCAATCTGGGACTGGGGTAATAAGGACTAAAGTATTCACTGCACTTACAATTTTTCTTAATTGCTATAGATTGAATCGTCGCGTCTTGGCATCAGAATCAGCTCGATATTTGGATCTATCTGGGGTACCGTCTTCGCCTGAGTTGTTTAGCGAAGATAAACTGCATCGTCTCTTACACTTGACAGGTAAACATTTATTTAAATGACGTGTTAATGATGATAAATTCTAAACATTGATTTCATGTATACAGCGTGTCTTTACAATCGCGACAATAAATTAACACACATATAGAGGAAAACTTTTTAAAATTGTATTAAACATTTGCATTGTTTAAACATCAATATGTATAGTTATTAAATTTTCCAAAACAAAGAATTTTAGAACACCCTTACGTATAGTACTGTAACGTAAAATTCATTTGTAAAGGTCACAAAGCATATGAATGGGTTGAATGAATTTAAAAGAGACAAAATATACTGTTAGAACGAGAGGCTTGTAATGCGACGCTGTGGCAACGAATGAAAAAGTCTCCGAATGTATAAATCAGTCAAGTAGCGTTAGACGTGTGTTCATTTATTGTCGCGATGGTCACGACACGCTGTATAATTTTTATTCAGGTCGTGACGCTCTGGCCACTGCTTTGCCGATACTAAGATACTTCTCGAAGACCAAAAAACCTGAGAAGATTACGCAAACAGTCTGGGTTATTGGCGATCTTAATACGAAAGAGTCTAGAGATCTTTTGAGAAATGCCTTGACGTTTATGGTGAATATGATTTTACGTTTAATTCAAATTATATTTCAATTATATTCAAATTGTGTTCACTTTATATTTATATTTTAATTTATATTAGATTTTATTTTATATCTATACAGGGAGATTTTTTGAGAAGTGCCCAAATTTACACAGGAGGTTCAGACTCGGTAGTATAATCGTTTATTGAAATAAAAAACAAAGTTTTTTTTTTTTCTAAAAAAATGCCATTCTGTTCCCTAAAAAACAGAATGTTGACAATGCGGTAGTCATTCATAAATACCTAAATTTTACTGTGCACGAGCTTGTGTGCGTGTTAGTTATGAATGATCGCGCGTAAAATAAATGAGTTGCGTATAAATCACACACTTTTTGAGATAAGTTCAAATGAATGAAATCGATTACTTATGAGTGATTTTAAATATTTATCATCGTTATATAACATTATTTATGTCTAGAATTTAATAAAAAAATTGGATACACTTAGAAAAGCCTCCCTGTATAAAATTTAAGGTTGATGTCATTGATCCCACCATCATCGACAAAACCAATCAACTTTATTTCGGTCCCATTCTTATCTTCCGTTCATGCAACGTTCGTGTAATCCGAAATCAATGACCTGAACACCTCTTTAAGTTCCACATTAAACGCATGACACTTTCTTTTTCAATATTTAAAGTACAACCATTTTGCATCAGTAACAATAATAATAATCATTTAGAGGGAAACTGGAGGCGTTCGCGTGGCGTTTATACCGAATGTTGAAGGTGGCTCGGCTGACCAGTCTCTCAACAAAGTGGTGCTTGCCGCTCTAACCGCTTTGGAGCCAACTCTCGCCACCAAGTACGTGGTGCGGCTGCTAGAGGATGAAGGGTGCCACGAGCGTCAGGACTGCGAGATATTGGTATGACATTTACTAGAATAAACTTGTTATTACACTATAAATTTGATTATTTATAATATGCACTATCATAAACCTAACATATACATCTATTTGTAATTTCTAAGCAATCATTGGAATAAAACGATAAGACAAACACAAACGAATAGACATAAGTGAAAAATAACTGTATAGAAGTATCGGCAAAATATCGAAATAATGAAAAACATGAATCATGAATCCGTAATGGTTACCTAGATATACACGACCATTACACATCGTAAATACTAATTTAAGGATTTTATCGCGTGTTGTTTCTATATTTCCGAAATTGCGTTCGCACTGTATTTTCTACTCCTTATCTTGCGGTTTACCAACTCAAATTGTGCAAGGACGCTTAAATTTCCACGGCGGTATTCGCGCAAGTCTATCTATCTAAGTTCCCTAACTACCTAACTAAGTACTAACACAAGTAGTGCAAGGGCGCACACTTTTCCAGGGTGGTGTTCGCGCACGCCCACCGAGCGACCGCGCCGACACAGCGGCCGAAAGCCGTTGCGTCCACGCTCACGGACGCCGTCGTATTTGTTTCCCCACAGCCGGAGCTGGTGGCGCACCTGAACAGGCAGGAGTGGGTGCTGAAGGCGGCGCGGGTGCTCTGCGGGCGCAGCATGAGGCTGGGCGCGGGCGGCAGGGCGCTGGTGCACAACGCACGGCTGCTGGGGCCCTTCGCGGACGGCGACGGCTTCTCGCTCGACGACTTCCTGCTGCTCGACAGGTCCGTGCCACGCACGGGCATGTCCCCGTCGCCGTAGCACCGTGAAAAAAAAAAAGAAAAAAGTGTGACTGAACTGAAGTTGGCATGCGAGCACGCAGTTCGACTGATGTTAACTGATCACCGCCGCCCGTTCACATTGCAACACCTCATGGATTGCGGATGCGTTGCCAAGAAAAGTGGGCCCGCATATCGTTACTCTACTCACCGGGTGAAACTCGAAAATGTTATACTTTAATAGTAGTTTGTATGGTGTACTTTAGTAGTAGTTTGTATGGTGGTACCGCTACGCAGCAGCCTCGGCTGTTGCACGAATGGGCAGGCTCGTCCGGGTAAGTACCACAACCTCAGAAGATCGGCGTAAAGTGGAAGTATAATACTTTGGCGTTTCGTCTGGTGATTGAGGTAGCCGGAGCCCAATTTTCAAAAGGTTGTCAACGCATTTGCAACCCTCGGGTGTAGCAGATGTCCATGGGCGGCGGTATTAATTTATCATCAGGTTTAACCGTCTGCACGCTTGGCAAATTTTCAAAAAAAACTTTCACTTCTTAAATTAAAATTTTTAAATTTAAGAAGTATTAAATTGAACTATTTCAATTCACAATAATAAAAGGAACAATACAAGATTTACCAAAATAGCAGTAACTTGCATTGTTGACTTCAAACAGGTCCCAATTTCGTGCTTAGTGCTTAGTGCTTTAACACTGATTTTCAAATGGAGACTTGAAACTTGAACATATATTGAAGATTTACAGCCTCCGGACTCAACAATTTTGTATAATATATACGCTTTTTCACAGACATAGCAACCAAGTCTACGGTGATAAAATTGCGGAGGTACTACGTAAGAAAAAAACCATCAAAAATGATGTATTTGATGACGATGATGCGACAGGTATGTTTTTTTAATTTTAAATAGGCAACATAAAGTCTTATTTCAATATAGCTAGCTGGCCTGATTCGGATTTATAAAATTAATTTTTATTTTCTATATAATTTAATAAATTAACAGTCAACAACATTTTAGCCAACCGGCAAATTTTAAGATATTTTCCAGATATAAAATACAAACGATCGGACTAGAAAATTAAAAAACAAAATTAATTTATAACCTTTGTAGAAACATACTATTTATACCTTGGCCAAATTCGAAAGAAATGTTTAATAAACAAAGCGTTTTTAGACAACTATCTAACATCATTGAAAAAAAAAAAAACTTTTAACAATGCTCATTTTTAGGATTCCATACCTAAAGGGTAAAACGGAACCCTATTACTAAGACTCCGGTGTCTGTCCGTCTGCTTAGACAGTTGAAATTTTCACAGATGATGTATTTCTGTTGTCACTATCACAACAAATACAAAAGAAAACAACAAAAAAATATTTAAGAGTGGCTCCCATACAACAGACATGATTTTTTGCCGTTTTCATTGATAACTAGCGGACCGGACAGACGTTGTACTGTACAAACGACTTAAATTCGACAATTAAGAAATAATAAAAAAAATGGCAGTGGACTAAATTGTAAATCTAAACCATTCTCGAATCGACCTGAAGACACACAAAAAAAAATCATAAAAATCGGTCCAGCCGTTTAGGAGGAGTTCAGTGACATACACAAGAATTATATATATATATATATATATATATATATATATATATATATATATATATATATATATAAAGATGATACGGAACCTTTCGTATACGTCTCGCACTTGGCCGGTTTTTAGGGTAGCGTCATTGTAAATGTTTGCGAATTAAATTGGTTGTAAATAGATAATATATTAAACCTATAAAACTAGTAGAGAAGATGGAATAAAACGAACTACCAAATTAAAACCATACATTTTTATTCACTTATCGTGTGTCGTGCATAAAGCATAAAGAAGGCGTCATCTGTTGGCAAAACTGTCACTAGTGATAATTAATGATAAATAATAGATATTTTCCGTCCAGACGAGGAGGCGCCCGAGCTGTCGACGGACAACTACTTGAAGGCGATCTCTGTGCTGGCGGCTCGCAGCTCCAAAGTGCGGACTCCGCTGCCAGCGGGGCTCCGAACAGAGCACTCCGTCATCGAGCTGCAGCCCCTGTACACCGACGAGGCCGCTGTGGAGGTGAGCGGCAACGTTGCACAACCAATGTTAAAAGACCAAATTAATGTCAATTGATTACGTATATTATCAAATATAATATAGTATAGTATAATATAATATGACAGCTCCGTCTGGGTAAGTACCACGACCTCACAGAAGACCGGCGTGACGTGTTATACTTCTGCTAACTCCGTACATCCTAAAGTTGATGTTTGACTTTTCCTTTTACTGTCGCATGCAGATATTATGTCGTTAACTTTTATTGATGTAAATAATAATGCTATTAGATCGTAGCGGTACTCGATCCAGCATCGACGGCTGCGCAACGTCTGGCGCCTCTCTTGTTGGTGCTGCGCCGCGTCGTCAATTGTCGCCTGAAGCTGTACCTCAATCCTCAGGATAAAAACTCCGATATGCCATTGAAAAGGTAGCCTAGATATTACTTTCTCCTGATATAAATTGTATAAGCGCTGAAAATGGGATTTCCCGCGTTCATCACAAAAGAGGCAGAAAATTTAAAATCATATCATTAATACATACTAGTATATGATAATATGTATTGTTATAAGAAAGATACATAACAAACAACTCATGGAAATCCATAAATAAATATATGGCTAGAGAAGCTACATGCAGTGTGGAGGTGTTTTCTTTGCACTGCGATCATATTTTTTTTCTTGTTTCACTACACGTAGGTGTTACGAACAGCATTGTTGATAGGTTTTGTGAACATAAATTAATGATAAGTCGATTTTTACACTCAACGGTATATGGGCAGAAGATGGCAATTTCTTCATTCAAGGCAAGTTTGCGCAATTTATACGAAACGTATAAAAAGAATAATTCAAAGAATTCGCCTGTAATTACATCACTATTAACTCACGACGTCTGAAACCCACGCAGTTTCTACCGCTACGTGCTGGAGCCCGAGCTGCAGTTCACGGCGAGCGGCGCCGCCGGGGGCGGAGCCCTGGCGCGCTTCTCGCGGCTGCCGCAGGCGCCGCTGCTCTCGCTGGAGCTGCGCACGCCGCCCAACTGGCTCGTCGAGTGCGTTCGCTCCGTCTACGACCTGGACAACATCCGCCTGGCTGATGTCGATTCCCTGGTGCACAGGTGGCGTATTCCCTCGAGCACTACTTAGCTTCCATCGACTCAATCTTGGCTGGTTTTACGAATTGTTATCTACTCTCAAACTAAGCAAAGCTTGTACTATGAATAATAGATAAACATCTTACACATAATGATGGCTTTTCTAAGTGTATCCATTTTTTTTATTAAATTCTAGACATAAATAATGTTATAGAAAAAATGATAAATATTTAAAATCGTAAGTAATTAATTACATTCATTTGAACTTATCTCAGAAAGTGCGTGATTTATACGCAACTCATTTATTTTACGCGCGATCATTCATAACTAACACGCACACAAGTTCGTGCACAGTAGAATTTAGGTATTTATGAATGACTACCGCATTGTTAACACGTTCTGTTTTTTAGGGAATAGAATGGCATTTTTTTTGAAAAAAAAAAAACTTTGTTTTCTATTTCAATAAACGATTATACTACCGAGTCTGAACCTCCTGTGTAAATTTGGGCACTTCTCAAAAAATCTCCCTGTATAAACACCCAAACATGAGAAAAACACAATCATCACGCAATATTTTTCGGAAGTGGGTTTTGCTACCACATGTCATATTTTAGTCACCATACAAGTGAGAGCAGAGTTGCAACACAGTTTTTTGATGACACCGTGGCGCAGTTGCCAAAGTATTGGCTTCGGTGTGGGGGGTCGTTGGTTCGATTCCCATACGGGATAACTATATAGTTGTTTCGCATCTGGGTGTTTGTCCACGTGAAATTTATGTTTGTAAAACGTCCTTACAACACAGGGTAATGTAATCCTAAAGTGCGGGCAATGTTTCTAAAAAAAAAATGAACATATAATAACATATAGTTTCATTTTTTTTTATACAGTGAGTTCGAATTAGAGTACCTACTGCTAGAGGGGCACGCTTGGGACACTACATTGGGAACACCGCCACGAGGTTTGCAGCTGATACTCGGCAGCAAAGAGCAGCCAGAGCTGATGGACACCATAGTGATGGCCAACCTCGGCTACTTCCAGCTCAAAGCCAACCCTGGCGCGTGGACGCTGCGCCTGCGACCTGGACGCTCCGAGGACATATACGAGATTGTTGGGTATGAAAATGTTTATGAATTCAACATGCCTATTGTATATGTCTATGATTGTATCACACGTTAATAATTCAATGTTTAACCGTTTACTTTATATTTTTTTCATGTAAAGCTTACATCAAGTACACAGTTATTTTTTAATAATGTTCTTCTTTGCGTTTCCTGTTCGTGTGAGATATTGATAATAATAATAATCATTTACGGATCTATAGATAGATTTGGTTACTGGAATAGAATTATGACGTAAGTATTATGGAGCTAATGTCAAATACCTATATCTAGTAACGAAATCTATCTGTAGATGGAATATTGGAATTGGTCGTTTATGAACTCAAGAAACAACAATGGCAAAAAATAGACATTCAACACACTACATCTTAAGTAAAGAAAAAAATCTTATAAATATCATAAAAAAATAGAAAAATATGTACTGAAAAGATGAACGTTGCAACGCTGAGTCGCCAGGTCAGCTGCTCAGCATAAACCCAATTGAGGTGAACAGCACTGGCATTCTAATAAAACCCGTGTGAGTGTTGACACGTCAGTCAGTGGTCAGGTTCGGCTTTTTTAATTAAGTATCTGTAAGTATCTCATATGTTTATGTAAACGTATTTAACTGACATCAAAAGGAGGAGGTTTTCAATTCGACTGTTTTTTTTTATATTTGTTACCTCAGAACTTCTGACTGAGTGGACCAATTTTGATGATTCTTTTTTTATTTGAAAGCTGGTGCTTGGGTCCCATCTTAATTATCATTGGTATTGGATCCTGGGCTCCGGAGATACTTCTAAAAAACGATTATAAAATGAACATGGAGCTACTTATTTGAAGTCGGTTTTGTTTTTCGTTATAAAAATAGACTTGTTTCAGCAAGTTTTGCGACGTGCTGCGTACTTGAAAGTTCAAATGGAAATGTATCCACGTACGCGCAGGCACGAGAACACCGAGACGGCGGCCGGCAGCGCGGACATCCGGGTGCTGATGGGCTCCTTCCGCAGCCACGTGATCAAGCTGCGCGTCAGCAAGCGCCCGGACAAGCAGCACCTCGACCTGCTCGCCGACAACGACGACGCCAGCTCCGGCGGCATTTGGAACTCCATCGCGAGGTTGTTTTTTTTTTATTTTTCGAAGTTAAAACTTGTTGGAACTCGCGTTATCGTCATCGAACGCTTTCCATGAGATATCTGTATACTCTGTATATACTTGTACTTTTTTGGTGAACAAAATGCGTGAAACTCGCGTCATCTTTGAAAAGGGAATATGCAAAAATATGTTTGTAGTTATGGATGTGATATAAATACTGTTCTTATCGTACGAAGTGCCTATAAAATAATATTTTATGTAGAATTAAATATACAATTTAAAATGGATCTCGGCTACCTCTCTCACTAGAAGAAACGCAAAAGTGTAACACTTCTACTTCACGCCGGTCTTCTGTGAGGTCGTGGTACTTACCCGGACGGACCTGCCCATTCGTGCAACATTGAACACTGTCAGGCGTCCCTACCACAGTTGAATTTCTATGCAATCTTCTTTTTTATATTTAGAATCTTCTTTTGTTTTTTTAACTAGATTTTCGCCCGCGGCTTCGCTCGCTTTGAAGCCCTTAAATAAATCTTTCTAATAACGATATTTTCAACCCTTTATAACATCTTTTTTCTAATTAAAAAAATATCCATGTCCTTTCTCAGGCTCTAAGACTATCTGTGTACCAAATTTCATTTAAATCGGTTCAGTAGTTTTGGCGTGAAAGCGAGACAGACAGACAGAACTCTGTCTGTCTGTCTCGCAAAGTAACTACTTTCGCATTTATAATATTAGTATGTATTTTTACACGCAGCTCCTTCGGTGGCGGTGAGGAACACGAGCCGCAAGATGAAACGATCAACGTGTTCTCGGTCGCCTCCGGCCATCTGTACGAGCGCTTCCTGCGCATCATGATGCTCTCCGTTCTCAAGCACACCAAGTCACCCGTCAAGTTCTGGTTCCTCAAAAACTACCTGAGCCCCTCTCTGAAGGTGAGGAAGTGGTGAAGAATAGTTAAAGTTCACGTGAGGCCGTGTTATGTTTAACTTGTACTCACTGAATGGCAATTAAAATCTTTTAAGTTAAAACAAATAATGCCTTATACGTAAATTATCGGTTTCGCACACAGTCGCCTAAATTAAAGTTACTGATATAATTATTGAATACTTGTAGTATATAACACACATTTGGTAATTCCATATAGTGACAGTAAACTTGGTTGCAACCGTCAAATTCCAAACTGTCGTATTAGTCATCGTAGTTGCCTTTTCGAAATGTTATCTTGAATACTAATGTTGACAATTAAATGCAATTTTGTATTTTTAACCCTCAAAGAATGCCTTGATTTATGAGGTAATTTAGTTATCCTCATCATTAGCATATCACCCCAATACCGAGATTACATTTAACACCTCTCTTAGGTATCGATTTCAGTGATAGCAATGGGGCCACAGCGCGTTTGTGACCCTTAATAAAATAAAGATTTAAATAACTGTTGTTGCACTCCTATCCCGAACCCCTAGCTCTGAGCAATGTTTTGTTACCAATCTTCAGTTTTCCAACAGTAAAATAAAATAATAAAGTATAAAAATAACATTTTGATTAGGAGTTAGAGAGAAATGGTCCTGTAGATCAAAATATACCCATTAAAGACAGACATAAACAAATGTTACATCTTTATAATATTAAGAGTAGAGCTCTTTAAGGGTGAAATTCCCAATAAATTGTATAGGTAATGTTATGAACGTTTTAGAAGTGTGTTGTTGTTATTAGGACATTTTGCCATACATGGCTCAAGAGTACGGATTTGAATACGAGCTCGTGCAATACCAATGGCCGCGCTGGCTTCAACGTCAACGCGACAGGCAGCGCACCATTTGGGGCTACAAGATTCTGTTCCTCGACGTGTTGTTCCCGCTCCAAGTCAAGAAGATTATTTTCGTCGACGCAGATCAGGTATTTAATTTATTTACGATAGTTTTCTGTTCAAAATTCATAAAATGTCTCAACTTTAATGTGCCAATATAACAATCTTGTATCAACTGATGTTTTTGCTGTCAGTCCCGAGACTATTAAACCTTCATCTGACGTATAACAATTGTAGCATTTTAAAAAACTTTGGATGCTCATAAAATGATGCTCTTTCAGATTGTACGTGCCGATTTGAAAGAATTGGTGGAATTGGATTTGGGCGGTGCGCCATACGGCTACACACCGTTCTGTGATAGTAGGAAGGAAATGGAGGGCTTCAGGTTAGTTATTTTTAATTAGAATTGCAAGAAGTTATTACATTAATAAATATATTACTATACCGTAATTTTTATCACAAGCTTGCAATATTGACACTGATTTACCATGTTTGGTTGTCATAAGGGAAATTTGTTTTCTAGTTTACGAAAAACAATATCTAACATTTGGAATAAATTGCAGCATTAGATTATAAACGTGATGTGATAACTTTATAAGCTAAAATATATAATTTAATGTACCTACACATAACTGAATATTTTGTTTCCATGCCTACTTTGTGTTGCTAACAGTATGTAGAGTGAACAATCTGGATGATTCTGGATTTATATAAACACTCTTTTACAAACTCTTTTGTAAACATTTGACTTCTGAGGCGATTCGATACGAATGCGAACGTTCCACATGTTGCAGGTTCTGGAAGCAGGGCTACTGGCGCAACCACCTGCAGGGCCGCAGCTACCACATCAGCGCCCTCTACGTGGTGGACCTGAAACGCTTCCGTCGCATCGCGGCCGGAGACAGGCTGCGCGGCCAGTACCAGGCGCTCAGCCAGGACCCCAACAGCCTCTCCAACTTGGGTGCGATGGCCTCACTAATTCACATTCGAGCCGTTCTCACTGACCGCTTTTTTGTTTATTTGAATTATTTTCCTATCTTTAAGTGTTCTTCTTTGGTACAAGCTTATGTCTAGGTTTTAACTTCTTTTCAAGCAAATTGATATGAAACAAATTTACGGATTTTATGTTGTTTTATTTTCATTTTCAAATACTAGACGTTTAGTGATTGAGGTAACTGGAATCCTCTTTATTAAAAGGTGACATCGCATCTGCAACCCTACATATGTTGCAAATGTCTTGGCCGACGGTTATCACTTAACCTTAGGTGAACCGCCAGCTCGCTTGTCACCTTCTCAAGTAAAAAATAATGCTTTAATACATTCATAGAGGAAACTAGTAGGTAAATGAACTAATCCAAACGTTGGGTGTTTTGAAATAAAAATAAAGTCCGTAATTATTTTTATTTTAAATCATACTTTCTTGATCTGCTTACGGTCCACTTCATGGACGTCACTATACATTTTGCTAGTAGTACAGAAAATTTAATTGACAGTTATTTCTTTCTTTTGTAACTCCTTATGCATTCCACATGCTAATGAAATTATATAAATATTAATAATTACATAAATTTACTATTTTAGATCAAGATTTACCTAACAACATGATACATCAAGTGGCAATCAAGTCACTGCCCCAAGAGTGGTTGTGGTGTGAAACCTGGTGTGATGATAATTCTAAGAAGTACGCAAAAACAATTGACTTGGTAAGTGTTATAACATTTATTTATTTATTAAGGTACACCAACAGCAAAACATATACTTACATTTATATATACATATATTATTAGTTAGAGGTTTTGTTCTTATATTTACGCCAATTATAGGTATACACAACATTTACGATCTAAGTACCTAAAAGTAAAACAAAAAATAAAAGTTAACATAAGAATTAATAATAAAAGCTAGCTATGTATTTTAAGTAAATTATGTATGAGAAAACAATAAAAGTACAAGTAAGAAAAAAGAATTCATTTTAAATTTATATGAACTCTAAATCAGAAGAGATCGTACTTTCGTTTTAAAAACATTTAACGAATCATTAAAAATATCCAGATTCCATTCGGCTACAGACATGTGATTGTATTTGCTTAAAATTCTTGAAAGTGGTTGATGTAGTCCTAAATTTGTTCGGTAATGTGGAACCCTAAAGAGTTTATCAATGCGAGATCTTGGGTATTTATAAGGAACTGCTAGGCTTACTTTTTCCAGAAGTACTGAACATTTAATATTTCCTGTAATAATCTTATGCAAAAAAGATAGATCAGCTATAGTTCTTCGGTTGCGTAAAGTACACATGTTAAAATGTTTAAGTCTCTGATCATACGGATGTCTATGCGGTATGTTCGGTGAAATATAGGCTAGATGTTTTGTAAAGACGCGTTGGATTTTTTCAACACGCTGAGAAGATGCACTATAGGTTGGATTCCAAACAACTGACGCAAATTCGAGGTGTGAAAGCACAAAACTGTTGTAGAGGATAATCTTCGTTTTTACTTCTTTAAACAGTTTTGTGTTTCGGTTTATAAATCCGTACATCCGCGCTGCCTTTCCTACAATTTTATCAATATGGGCGTTAAATTTTAGCTTGCTGTCAATTACTACTCCCAGGTCACGGATTTCATCAACTCTAGATAACAGAACACCATTCAAACGATAGGCACACGGAATAACATGACAAAACTATGTAGAATTTTAAAAACTGGAAACTTATTTATTAGTATAATTTCTTCAACAACTCCTTAATTATAATCTTTAGTCAATAATAACTTTCTTTCCTTTATGCACAATTTTGCTAACTATCCGTATATAACTCAATCGTTAGATTCTTTTAATTGGCAGGTAATATAAGGAGATACTTTGAAATGAATAATGTAATATAAAATTATGTCAATAATCATTTAGTAATTGTTTTCTGCATCTGGACAACCAAGATCATTGTTCTTCCTTAGCCTATAACATACTTAATATTTAACCTAAATTAAACTATCATCTCCATATACCACGACGTTCGCCGCTTGCCCCCGCAGTGCAACAACCCGATGACGAAGGAGGCGAAGCTGTCCGCGGCGATGCGGATAGTGCCCGAGTGGCGGGAGTACGACGCCGAGGTGAAGGCGCTGCAGGCGCGCGTGCGCCGCGGCCTCTACCAGGCCACGGACCACGAGCAGGAGCAGAGCGCGCACAGCGGTAACCGCTCTATTCTATGCGACAGCTTGCAAGCGAGCGGGCGATTCGGTACCGGGCGCGGGGGGGGGGGGTCACCTTTTTTTGTGTGTTTTCGGGAGGGAAGTCAGAACAGCGGGGGGGGGGGGGCGGTTATCTAATGATACAACACCGTAACGGACCATGCGTTGCCAACAAATTGTTAATAAGTTATTCAACATTAGTAAGCGTTAACTACTTTATTTATTACTCATGATGGTAGGGCAAGCTAGTCCTTGGAAGCAAGGCTATAACCTCACAGACCGGCGTGGAGTGGAAGTGTGATGTTTTCGTGTTCCATCTGGTGAGTGAGGTAGCCGGGTAACCTTTAAATAAGTTGGCAACGCATCTGGTAAGTTATTACCATCCATAGGGTACTTTCATTTCCACAGAGGAGACTGGGACGAAGGTACTTACTTCGATTGAAAATAATTAACTGTATATCATTAAAATTATTCTCGTGCACGTATTGAAATCTCAACTAACGACGCCCAAACTGCTACTGACTCGTAGCATAAGGTACTCCCATATTCTTTTGAACCTTCCTAAGTACATTAAATTCATGACTTGAAATGTTTTATTTTAATACATTCAATTTAACTATTGTGCTCCAAGAATCTATCAAGTTAATGTTGACCAAAGTTAGATTTTTTACTTAATTCAAAAACTTTAAAAACATTTTCTTCTTTCAGGTAAAAATCACGAGCATACAGAGTTATGATGAACTAAATATAAAAATTCAATATAGAAATTTTAGTTATTCCAATTTTCGTTGAAAGGTTGTAAGAGTGCGTGCGGAAATGTTAAGCAATTCGTGAGAATGTCAAGCTAGCGCTAGGGATTGATTACTTGATTACATTAAAGGACTATATTAAGACTTTAAAAATTTCTTTTCTATGAAGCCATCAACGTTTTCTTCTTGTGATATTAATCCAATGTGTGATAATTACAGTAATATCAATAGCTTTTTTCCTAGACCAGTGTGTAATGTATTTTCTCCCGTAAGAATAAGTGATGTGATGATAATTAGCAATAAGATGTAGAAATGTTTTCTTTTGCTTAATTTGATTGTACCTTTATTAATTATTTTTGTATTGTTTGTTTCATCCACCACAATAACACTGTTTTAGTTTTGTCACAGTTATCTTAAATATTGTCAGAGATCTCATAAAATCTTAAGTTTTATATTTCGCAGGCCATATATATTACACCAATTATGGTGCAGAAATATATTCGGAAGTGTACGATAATTTTGTTTGTCACCAGAGATTAATGTACTGCTATAAGGAATCATTTTGACGATAAAGGCTCACCCATATTAAATTGCGGGAAATAAAAATACATTTTTCAAACTAAGTTCTTTTAATTTCAAACCTACAGTTCTACCCAAAACGGTCTATTTTACATGATAGTTAAAATAGTAAATATTGAAAGAACACTAGTTTATAAGTACTGATTTATGTACAATACGCGTTTATTTAAATTATAATAAAATACTAGTATCTATTTGTTGCTGTCTACTTATCATTGAATATATTACATTTATATAATTAAAATAGCATTCTAAGCTTACGTTATATACAGAAAGCACAAAATTGTGAAGATTCATCATTTACTTTTATTCAAATATGTCTACAGTCTTTATACTTCTACACACACATTATTGTCAAGATATTAATATTTTAACCCTACATTACTGGCATTTCATGTGTCAATGAGTACTATTTACCAGTATTAGGTTCATAACAAAGGGGTATTGTAAGTACTGACGTTCTTTGGTGGCAAGTTGATTCAGTCTAAATCTTAAAGCTAATATTTAAAAATTAAACTGATCTATTTCTTTTGAAATGACTAGTATAATGTTTACTGATAGCTACATTCTGATATATGCGTGATTTCATGAGGTAGTCATACGATTCTATAGTAATGGAGGTAACAGTGAGTTTAGTAATGAAGATAATAGGCTATACTGGTGTTGATTATAAGTCAGGAAATTTTTATTGTTAGGATAATTTAATTTAATACATTTTAGTAACGGTTTTAACACATTCAGAATCCGACCACTTTCTCATTAATAAAAAATCATTAAATATGTTACATCTCGTTAATAAACTAGGACTTGAAAGTATTTAACAGCTAAAACCGAGCTGAGATAATTGTTCAAACTACACATCTTTTTCGTCACTTTCTAGGCTAGATGCAATACTACAAATGATGGTTCAGCTGGAATGTTTTAGTTAAAGCAATGTTTTTACTTAGTGAATTTGTATTTCACATCTAATTCTACACGTACCCAGACAAGTTTGTATTTCGCTTATATAATAGTACTATATTAAAAAAACACAACAAGATGTTCAAATCTAAAACATTAACACACGCTAATACTTATTTAATTATAAAAAAATTTAAACCACTATGAGGAAATCGTGTTATTTTATATTGTCAAAATTTTAAAATTAATTTTTAAATCTCGAATGTGAAAGAGAATTATGTTGTTTTGTTATTATAGCATTTATTATTTAAGTAACTTAGTAATTTTTTAGTTATAATAAATGAGGAATGAAATAAGTTTAATTTGATTCACAATGTTTCCGATAGCCCATTTTCTTAGTGCCCGTTACACAATATGTATTATATTCGTCGCATTCACATTAAACTGTTGGTTTTGCACAAAAGAGAGTTCGTTGGCAAAGTGACCTTAGTTTTGAGGTTACAATTTAAATTGCAAGAAATATGGAGATTCGTTAGCTTTATTAAAGTGCCATAATTATTTCAAATTACGAAAAGCTTCCGCTTTAAGTGCGATGATTTTTATAGTTTATACAAAAAAAAACTACGCATAAAGCATTATGATATTGAGGTCGTAACAGTTTTGACTTTTAAAGACGATGTGCTTTATTGAGCACGGTTTTGATATTCGGATGAAGCGTGTGGGGCTTGCGGGGCGTGTCACAGTTGCAGAAATGATCCACGGTGGTGACTCATGTTCTGATCAAGTCTGCGGGGCATGCGGGGGGCTCAGTTGCGGAAATGCTCCTCGCTGGTGACTAATTTTCTGATCAAGTCTGGGAGGCATGCGGCGGGCTCAGTTGCAGAAATGCTCCACGGTGGTGACTCATTTTCTGATCAAGTCTGCGGGTAATGGAGGGCGGGGGCTCAGTTGCAGAAGTGCTCCTCGGTGGTGACTCGGCAGAGCTGGCAGTCCACGCGGCAGCACCAGTGGTAGCGGCAGCGGCAGCGCTCGAGGCGGCTCGAGCGCACGGCGCGGCGGCCCCGACCGCAGCACAGGCGCGCGCACCCGCCCGCAGCCCCGCCCAGGCTGGCGTTGCACTTCCTGGAATGTTGCGGTGTTATTTAGAACGCAATTTAGACACACCAATGAACTCCTCAAAATAAAATAGAAACTTTGAGAATGAGGGAGGTAATAGAAGCCGTGTTGTTGTTTTGCTAATAAAAACATACGTGTTGCATAAGATGTTTGACGGCCTTTTTGTCTACCTTCACTTACCTGTGTCAACAACAAAAACAATAGGGGCGGATATATATACCCTATAGGCAAAGTAGGCTCAGGCCTAGGACTAGTCGCGCCTTTCGCCTCGCTCCTTCGCGTAGACGATATTCCGTAAAAAATTTAATATGCGGCCGTGATGACCAGCCCGACCATTTTCCTATACTTCATTTAGTCGTTTGATAAGAGTAGGGGAGGAGGAGGGAGGGGTGGTAGCAATCTCGCATAGGCCTAGAGCGACCAACGGATCAAACCCATCACCGGTAGGGCTCTGCGTCATCGATTACATTATACGACATAGTATATATAAGTGAACGTGACAGGTGATATAGAAGGTATGGTACGAAGCGGTCTATAGAGTTGCAAACAAACTACACCAAATGTAATTTGTGTTTTTTTTTTCAAACCTGGTCAGCACTTGACTGCCATCCCACCTGACGGTAAGTGGTGATGCAGCCGTTGATGGAAAGCGCGCTAGCTCAGTATAAACCTGTTCACTTTTGCGTTTATATACGGATACGAGGCAACCGTATCTGTATATGACATCATCGGGTCCGCGCGCTGCAGCGTACCTGCCGTGGGTGCCGAGCGAGCCGGCGGCCGGCTCCGGCTCGCAGTAGTCGGGACTGGGCGTGACGTAGCGCAGGCGGGGGCGCGGCCTCGCGCGGCGCCTGTTGTGCGCCCTCAAAGGGCCCGCGCGCGCCGCCTCGGCCGCCAGCGAGGCCGCCACGCGCGCCATCGGCGGCAGCGCGCGCCAACACGTGCGCACCGAGCACGAGCCCGACACGCCGTGGCACGTGCACTTTGTGCGCATCCCGCTCGACACCGCCTAGAGTAAAGCCAACAGCCTATAAGTATTAATATATCTGCACGACTGGCAGCTCCGTCCGGGGAGTTGAAGTTTTTAATAGAATAACGAATGCTTTTACGATACCAATTACGAAATCGATCACTTAGTCTCGATCAGTCGACTCCAATTGTAATTAACAGTGATGGAAAATTTGCGCACCTTTCTTCCGAAGCGCGAGTTCATTAAGTTTGCGGTGGCGATGAGTGGGCGCAGAGTGTCGAGGCGCGTACGAAGGTCCACCTGGGGGTCGAAACGGGGGTCGTCTGCGGCCATGCGGTACTCGATGTTGCGGTGTCGCGACCCTCTGTCATCGTACTCGTATCTAAGTGAAACAATTGCAGGAAACACGATGAGCACTTGTGTGACAAGTGAAGAAACAATAAGAAGCAAGTGCCTACTAACCCGAATTTACAATAAACATAGATATTAGATGAGTAGAGATATGGACCAACACGAAATTTTTAGAGTACACTGGCATAGGTGTAAAACTCAAATTATAGTTGCGAAGAATACAACCATATTAAATGACGTTCATATCCTCTGCCTTCCCATTTAACCGGTAATGTTAACGAGTGAATGATTTAGCTCAAATACGAAGAGTCATAATACAGCATATTATTAGGATTTTACACACGTGATAGTTTTCATCTCTGAGTTTAGACGAACAGGGTAGTTTACCACACATCTATTAAAAAAAAACAATATAATTTGTTTTACTTTCAACATCGTACGAGTAGCTTAGTCTTGGGTCTCGGGGTTAGCGGGCCGTTTAGGGTACCTTGATCTGAACCTTTTCCTCGTCGGCCGTCCCCTTCGCGGCGACCTCGGGAGCCGTTTGCGGCCACGTCTGCCCTTCCTCGGCTTCGGGGCACTAGTGATGTTCGCCGGCGCGGGCTGGTCGTCCACAAGGATGACCACGGGCGGCGCCGTTGTGGTCGCGGACGCCGACGTGGTAGACTTCGCGGCGGTGGTCGTTTCCACATCGATTATGCTCTCGATCTTGCCGTCCCTCACGTCGATCTCATGAGCGTCGAGGAATTGCCTAGCAAACCTGAGGGCAGGCGCGCTCATTTATGAAGGCGAAGCGATTTTTGTGGAGATCAGGTTAAAAAATAACACACGAGATAATACAATCTTACACCGATGACAAATTTTTAACACATTAACAAATAAGCCTGGTAGGCTTTATTATAAAATTGGAGCGATTGTAGGTACTGCCAAAAATTTTCAACAATAATGTTTCAAAGACTTTGAGCATACACAGGACATATACACAATAAATGGCATCCCCGAATTTTTACGTTTAAGTATTGATGTATTATTAACGTGCACGTTTGGATGATTAATTACAACACATTTTTTATCAATTTATCAATTCTGCATTATCTATATCGTCATGCCATAAAGGAACATGTAACCATATGATATAATATCATCCGTCGGCAGTAGCGACATATGATGCTGGGTCACCCGTCGGCAGTAGCGACACCCCTATCAGCGGTACTAATACCTATCACCCTAAGAAAGGGGCGACAAGTCAAAATGCGCTCCACTACTATTCTCGATTCAATGCAAAGTTAGCAGCACCTCTCGGCCCACTGGAAGTTGTCGCCGCAGCCGCCCCACTTGAAGCGCGCGTGCGGCTCGGTAGGGGCTGCGTGGCGCGGCGGCCTAGGGGGCGCGCGCGGCGGCGCGGCGCACGAGCACGCGGGCAGCGCGCCGGCCGCGCACGCGCGCGCCACCGACCACGAAAGCGCCGCAGCCGACATGGCGTACACGTACGCCTGCTCACGGGTGCCTGCGGACGCGCTGCCAGCTGTACTGATGTCCGAATACTGGGCGATTGGCCGGGAGAAGGAAGCCGTTGCGCCCCCTCGCTCTTATGGGTCTTACGGGGAAGCGACGGTGGTGCGTCATCTGCCAAGGGTCTTGCAGGGAGAGATATTGTCAATGTAAGACCAATAAGTGCGACAGAGCGCAACAGCTTGCGTTCTGCTTCCAAGTTTTGTTACAGGGCAGCGAGTGTTGGACATTAGTACCTAAGTCTGTCGGTGGCGCAGCAGCCAAAGTCTAGATTAAATCAAGTTTTACAAACATATATTAAGTTAACAAACATTGCGTTAACAAAATTTAAAAGTTTTTTTATTGGCAATGTTCCTAACTGGTCAGTTCTAAAAATTTTTTGTGTCATCCTGCAATTAGCCCTATACGGGCCTTTCTCTCCTTACATGACATTATCACATTTCATTTTTCTTCAATTCAATGAATCTAAGAAGAAATTGTTTGAAGAAATGTTAATTTGTGCAATTTAAAGGTTTACGATCCAAAGAGTTGCTTTCAGTCAGTGAATATTAAAATTGATAACAGGGACGTTATGCAACGTTATGCATACCGAAATTTATAACGATATCACAACTTCATAACGATATCTATTAGAGGTTAAGAAACAGATAACTTCATGCCAATCTTCTGTATCTTGTATTAACTGATGTTTGTGCTTTCAGTCCGGAGACTATTAAAGCTTCATCTGACGCAGAACCAGTGGGCTAGCCAGAACCCACGGGTTTGGGCCCTCCGCTGTGGGTAGGGCCACGCATGTGCTCATGCGTGCGTTTATGTGTGGTGTGTCATCTAAGGGCCATCGAGGTCGCGGTTCGGACCGAAACCCCGATGGCCGTCGACTGTGCAATTAGCTAATCGGTGGCCGGGAGCGGTGAGAACCGCCCCGGAACGCGGGTGTACCTTGTGTACGCTTTGTGTTGGTCTCGCCGTGCTCGGAGGCGAGGGCGAACTCGTATGTTTGTTGTTGCACTAACTGTGGGTGTAGTGTTATCCGGCGGGACCCCCGGCGGTGGGTCCGGCGTATCTAAGTCCCCTTCCTCGACCGGGTCGATGAGGACATTTTGCGGGCGACGCTTGTTGACGTTCGCGTTTGTGTCGGGTTGGTAATTTGCTGCGCTTACCACCAGAGGGTTGGGATGATGTTCGGCTCTATCGAAGAACCGTTTGGTCAGGTCTTTAAAATATTCGCGAATCGTCGGGAGTCTTATTTTGCGGATGAACTTATTTTGTACTATTTGCAACTTGTACAAGCGAGTAGGGTGCGTGTGGGCGAAGGTCATGCATGCGTAGGACGTAATAGGTCGTACGCAGGTCTTATATAATAATAATTTGTGTCTTAAGGGCATTTTACTTTTAGCGTTAGTTAAATTGTGTAGTCATAAAAGACGCTCGTAGAGCTTCCCCAGGCAACTGAGGAGGCTGATGGGACGATAACTAGAGGGCTGGTTGGCTGGTTTATTCGGCTTGCGAATGCCGATAACCGTGGCTTCTTTCCAGTCGTCGGGAAAGGAGCAACTGGAGAGTAAAAATGTTGTAAATGGTCGCCAGTAAACAGATAAGCGGCCCAGGGAGAGCTTTAAGCTTTAAGAATTTTGTTACTAATATTATCTGGGCCCGGAGCGGATTTGGGTTTTAAGTTTTTAATAATATCTTGGACCTCTTCGGGGGTCACTGAACTCAAAGGATCGCCTTCCGGTGGAAGCGCAGCCCTAATCTCAATTACGCGGTCCACCTCCGTTAGGTGGGCTTTAACGATGTGTTCGCGCATGACGTAACTTGTTGCTCTAGGTTGTCCGCAAGGCATTCGGCTTTTTCGGAGTAATCTAGGGCTACTGAAGCGCTATTAGGTCTAACTAACGGCGGTAGAGATTCGCGGGGGTCTGCTTTCAGATTGCGGGCCAACCGCCAGTAGGCGGTGTGCGACGGCTCGATGTCCTCTAGGAGAGTGTCCCACGTTGTATGTCGGTGTTCCGATACACGATCTTTGACTTCTAGCTGAAGGCGTCGAAGTATGGTTCGGTTCGATTCCGATCGGTATCGGTCGAAAGCGCGTTTGGCTGCATTTTTCTGCCTAATTAGCAGTCGCAGGTCGGGCGGAAAGTTAAACCGTCGGTCACCCGACAGTTTCACCGTCGGTTCCGAGTCTGCGACTGCGGAAGTGATGGTTTTTCGGAGACTTGCTATCGCTCGATTTGCGTCATCGAACGTAGCTATCGTCTCGGGTAGGTCGACTAGGTCCTGGGGGTCCAAGGCCTTCAGTTTTACCTCAAGACGATGCCAGTCCACTACGGATTTGATCGGAGGGACCGCGCCGGCGTTCTGGCCCAGTTTACACAGGACGGGCCTGTGATCTGAGTCTAGTTCATGGATTGTCTCTATCGACTCGATGTCGAGGGAGACCTCCCTGAATAACATGATGTCTAGGACACTCGGTGACGCGTGTTGGTAGTTGTCCACCGTAGGATACCTAGTGGGAGTCGCGGGAGCGACTATGCTAAAGTTTAGGATATCGGATAAGCTAAAGAGATGCTTTCCGTTATTGTTTGGGATGCTGTGGGTGTCCCATGTTTGCAGTTTAGATCTCCTGCAATTATCACGGAAGGGCCTAAGTTAAGTAGCGTATCTAGGTCGCTTTGAAGTAAGGTTCTATTCCCCGAGAGGTAGGCTGAGACTAGTACAAGCGGCCTATGGCCGGTGAGCGCTAACCTACACGCGGATGCCTCTATTTGACTTAGCTCTGGAATGTCGAGCGGGCAACAGTGCAAGAACCGTTTATAGTAAATTAATATGCCTCCCAGACGGTTTGCTAACCGGTCGTGGCGGACAATGTTGTAATTTGCGATTCTGGGATCGCGTACACTAGGTTTTAAGAATGTCTCTTGCACTAGAAAAATATCTACGTTGTAATCGCGAAGGAATTCCGCGATTTCGTCCCTTTGACCCTTTATGCCGTTTGCGTTGAAATACGAAACAACCAGAGCCCGAGGTTTTGTTCTACCTATCCAATCTTCTTAAAAAGTTCTTGCCAATTGAATATAAGTGAATCGCGACCCCCAATTCAGCCGATGTCGAAATTTTAAGTCGAAAGTGTGATGTTACACATTAACTCTATTTTAAAAGGGTACACGCAAAAAGTTAAAGATATTCTAACGATAATTGTCATGGAGTTGATTAATTTCGCGTGCGCTGCGAAAACTTACAGATTAATTTCATCGTAACCCAGAAAAGGGTACACGAAGCTATTTAACTATCACAATCACGTCAATCGTGTAATCGTTTATGTGCAAATTGGTCAATCAAAACATGGGAAGAACCATAATATATTGATCCTTATAGTAGGATAATTATAATAGTTTCACAGTCAAAGTTCATCGTGAACATGTAAGTTGCTCTTTAAATTATTCAAATCGGACCTTTCATTTAGAAGTTTAGATGGGTATAAAAATACTAAAAGTAATATAAATGCCGCGGTGTGAATGATAACAAACTTACGGTAAGGCTGTAGTTACTAACCTACACATTTTAGTTTTTGTAAATTGGAAACAATTGAATTGTATTTTAATTGCAATTTTTCTACAAATAAAGTAAGTACAAGTTCGGTTCGCTAGTAATGTATTAAATGGCTTTAACATAAATAGCATACATTTTGTTTGTTAAAAAATACTGATTGATAGTAATCACTTAGTATATAATAAATGGATGGTCAGTTGAGAAAAGAATCTTTGTTTAAACACGATTAAGATGAGGAAATAAATATATTAGTAGACGTATGGATTTACGGCGATAACGGATATTATTATTTCTTTTGTACATATAGCGACATCAGTGGCGAAGGGTGTGTTAAAGTAATCCAGGATTAGAGACTTAAATTTTATCATTGCTTTATTTTATTTGGATATAAAATGTTTTCGGTTCTTATTTGATCCCACTTTCTAAACGCAAAAATGATCTAAAATTAATCATTAAAAAAAGGCTTGCGGCCTGGCCGCGTAAGCACAAGTAGATATACAGTTATGTTATGATAGAAGAAAAAAGTTTCTAGCATATTTTTTATATTTGTCATTACTTACGTCTAAGTACATTAAAAATTGTATCTTTAATAATATAGACTTCGCTGCACATCTCCGATATATTCTCAACGATGATTCAAAGCAAGACCGCTTCTTTTTTGTCACAGCGATCTATTTTCTTTTTTAAGGGTGATCTTGCAACTCTGAAAATAGAGTTAACGCAATTTATTTGTAGCGTTCAATAGCTAAAATTGTTAAATTTTATAAAACATCACTTTATTGTGTAAAATTTATATATGCGTAACACTTGAAACTTATTATAGGTATACCACCTATAATAAGTTTCATAGCAGACTCCTTTTTAATAAAAAATAAATAAAATCATCTGCTGTAATCAATATCATCCCCTACAATTTCATAGGCGACAATCGTAGGTAATTTATTTTGAATGTTAAAAATAAATTACCTACGATTTTATTTGAAATAATATAATAATAATAATATTTTCATTTTAAATAATAAAGTTCAAAAATAATGAAAAGATGGAGACCAATTTACTTGCCTACTCTAATTTACACGATGAGTGATCCAATATGTTGTGAGATCGTCCCTGGCTTCAAGCTAATTTATAAGTTAATAATTTAAAAACCGCAGAAAATATTTCAGCCTTCCCTGCTTGATTTTCAAGCACAGCATTGAGCCACTATTGAATTCCATGAGGAAAAAATTCCAACATTCAACGAACGAAGAAAGACATAAAACCAATGATGGAAGCAAAAAGCTTAAAGTATTAAAACTCGCTTTTTACTGGAGCCAATAGTAAAAGTTCTTAAGACGATTTACTACTGTTTAATATTAGTTTGCATACTTTTCGTTATAAACGTTATTAGTACTAAACGAGGAATCCATTATCTAAATTATCATTTCGATCTGATGCAATGATTTTTTAAACGTTTTTCATTTCTGAGGTTATTATTTTAAAGTTCAAGTTTGGTAAAAATAATCATCTAATACATTAAAATCAACTGTTATTGGATTAATGTTAGCTCAACTTTAGTAAGTACATCAATTTTTTAATGTTTACACAAGCGGGAATAAACGAAAGAATGAAAGAATTTATGATCCTAGTTTACGTGAATTTTGAGATTATAATAAAAGTAAATATGATTATACTTTTTATCTCACCAGAACCAAACATGAGATATTTTCAATTTGCCATTTTATATGTGAATAGAATACACAAAATTGATATATTTATATTATGAAAATTAAAAAAGCATTAATTTTAGGCGTTTTTCATACACGCGTGGGTTCATTTTCTCACGACATAAAGTCGGTCCATAAGCCAAGGCACCAAAAGCTACAAAGGGTCGCATTCAACTCGGTGTTAACATAAGCCGACTGACTATAAGCTCAGTTCCTTTATTAATGCAGGAGAGGAGGCTTCGGTGTCCTTTTAATCTGCTGGTTCATTACGTTGGTTGAAATTCAAAAATTTTGTGTTATAATTTTCGATAAATGAAATAATGAATTCATTAAAACACGAAAGGGTCGTTTTAGGATTTTTTTTAATATGTAGGCTTTTAATTGCTGATTCTCGCAGAACATAATTGTATTAAAAACGTAAATACCCACATTTTTACAACTTCAAAAATAAATGATAGCGAATTGAAATAATAAGCTTTGGACCTTTTTAAGCTTAATTCAGCTTACAAGTACCAAAACATAAATGGCCAAGGGTTTACAATTTCTAACATTTAATAACAATTTATGTGTGAAAAACTTTTGAAAGCTTTGGCGCTTTTAAACTCATGTGTACGACCGCTGTTTAGTCTTAGCTATACCACTAGATTTAACTTAGCCCGCAATACTTAGCAGTGTTAGACTATGGGTTATGTAAATAGGTAAATATTTATTACTACATATTAGTCAAGTCAATCTACAATAGGTGAAGTTATATACCTATATAACGTCATCTATTAAACAATGACTGGTGTCTCTATGTCACTTCCAAAAATTCGAACCGATCTATTGTTGTTGATCAATTCAGAGAGCTTAACAATCCTTTTGGCAACTCAAATAACATTTGAAAAGTCATTTGACAGATGATTAGTTAACTTCTACGTTGATCAGTGTTTCTGAAACCGGGCGTGAATGTATGCTTCTGCGATATCTTCATCTGTCGTTCTTTTGGATCTTGCGAATAAAGAAGCGTTAAATGCGGGTCCCTATGCAAATCCAAGATTTCGACAAAAAAATAACCAAATCACCTGCACTTACTATGGTATTTACAACGAGCGAATACCGTTGCAAACGCCTTTGAAACTCGAGTGATACGATCGTAATCATTTACGATTCTAATTACGGACAATCTAACGGCGGAATCCCGATAGGGCCCGCACGGAGGGTCTTCGCTCGCTCAGACCTTAGACAATGGCGGTCTGGCTTATCGCGCTGCCATCTCGAGTGCAGGGCGCGCCTGAACGCACCGCTTAAGGTTATCATTAGGCCCCCTCTGGGCCGCCCCACGCCCCGCTTCTCTGATTCATGCGTGTAATTAAATCTTTTGTCAGCCTCCGGCGATTGTAGTGACGTCGAAATCCCTTTATTTAACGAATGCAAGATAACACGCATTCGACAAGCACCGTTAGCTCAGTGGGAATCGATTGAATATGACACGTTCGCTATGCATTCGACACGGCCGATTCGCTGTGACTCAAACCGTGAAGTAATGTTATTAAAAATAAAATCAGCTTAAGTTCGTCTTCAAATAACTAAACCTGCGAAACTGAATATTATACAGTATTCATCTGTTTAGGTACAGCACTATTTTAAATACAAATATTTTAGATGACAAAATGTTAAAAAAATACAACGCAAGTATTCCGTTTAATCATTCAAGAACAATGACTGGGTGTGTAAATTTTAATAACTAATTGAGAATTTGACAAACTCAAATTGGACTCCATGTCTCGGTGTAATGTATGACTTTAATGGTGGTCAATCGTTATTTGACGCCCCCGAGTGTGGCCGAAAGACCTTTTAATAATAATGCAGTGGGAGATAATAGATAAAGGCTGTATCTTTAGTACTTTTTAGCGATATTACAAGCCAATATCTATAAAACTTGGGGATGCGAGTAAGAGATATAACTAAAATAAATTTTGTGAATGCTTTTAAAGAATTCTGTAACTTCAATGTAATCATTAAAATTAACGATGTGAAATAGCATACTAATTAACCAAAGCCATAGCAATGATTAATGATATTCCAATAATTATTTTGTCAACGATAGTTCTGATAAAAAACTAAAAAAGTAGAGAGGCACCTAATTAATGGGGGCTGATCTAAAAGATTTTGTTTTTATTTCCGTTCATTAGCGCCGGTCCCCAGACGTCGTCCGTTTGGAAAAACTTTTAATTAAAACGTATCAAGCCCGAAGCACTCCGGAGATTCCTAACGGTTTTGTTTGCTAGAGACGTTCCGCGTCAATTAATTTACTAAAGTAACTGAGCGTACTACGGCGGTGGCGGGCACCAACAATGGCTCTTATTTCTAGCTCGTAGACGACATCCGGCCATCCATTGGGGCTGCCAACTTACGATGTCGGAAATCGCGCTAAAACTAGAAAGGCAGCGCCATCCGTCCTATTCTTCGTTTCCGTGTAATTCTTTTTCATAGTTTTTTGTTGCTGGCTGCGCGATGATATCGCAGACAAATAATGAACTCCATCGATCTATCTTGACCATAAAACTTGAGTGGCATATCCCGTGCTATCCTATAAATTATCACTCGAAGTGTAGCTTTTTGTAATTTCTTGATTTTTAGCCACCTAAAACAGCCTATTTGAGGATAAATTTATAAAATAAAAGCCAAGACCTTTACCAAAATTGAATTTGAAAATTCGTGGGTAAAATATAATAAATAGTTTATATTTTAACATTATTCCCAGTGAAGAATTTATTTAGCATTAGTTTAATGGTAATAAATAATACAAAGAGTTTTGTGTCGTACACGGTAAATTGAAGAAATGGAATAGAATGGCTCAATAGTATTGTAGAAAAACGTTCAGCAGTGAGATATGTTGTTTCTTTACTTTCTACTCTAAAGTATAAATTGGGCAACTTTAAATTAAATTAAATAAACCCGCTGCATTCTCTTCGCATAGCAGAACAGTTTCGCGTGTCGCACTGATAAGTTTGTTTATTGGCCGATATCTACGCAACGGGACAAGTCGCAAGTCGCGATATAAAGCGCCAGTTACAGGGCCACGACCGGTGCCAAGTTGAAGTTTCGTGCCAGAACCGTATTAGGAAATGATAGCGTGATTTACGATCGGTGTAGACTTGTGAAATTGTCGCCATACACGGTTGCTCTTCTTTGGAACAACGTTATTCTTTCAGTAGTCGCCGAGTGCATCGATGGAGGTAATGCTGACTTTATACGAATTATTAGTATTGAATTATTATAAGAATTTTGACTAAATTGTACCAGTCTTTGACATTAAGCATCTATTACTACAATTATATACGATATGTTAATGAACATCTTATTCAACCAGCAATGTGCAAAAATATGCACAGCAAATACATAAATGAGCAATATGCACAAATAAGGATTACCGTTGAACCATTCCAAAATTGTTCATGATCGTCGTAGGAAAATGTAAAGTAGGAAATTAAAGTCAATTTTCAACAACTTATTCTAGAGACATGTGATGCAGTTTGTTGTTACATACATGTAAGACGTAAGTGCATACAATAGCCAGTGGTCAGGTGTTAGGCAGACCTTATACTATATACTTATATTTAATAAAAAAATTCAGACAAAATAAAAAAAAACCTTGCTTAGTGAACTTCTGCCTTTTTTATAGAAGAGGTAGCAAAGTAGAATCATTAACACAAGAGTTGCAAATGCTTAGCCGGCATTTAAGACTGGGTCGGGCTCTCTTATTGAAAGTTTCTAAACCGGAAAACAGTTTTTAATAATAAATCACGTAATAAATACACCTCCCCATATGATTGGATGGATGTTCACAAAGTCTGAACCAATTATTTGCGAAGCTTGGTCTTCAAGTCTTCAACGCTTGCTAACCTATTATTAGCCGCCGAAAGAGTTCTAACTACACAGGTAGGTACATATAGTATCCGTCCGATAGAGTCATACATACATGCAAGAGGGTTTGAGAAACGGCGGCATTGCCTAAACAATGGACTTTCACAAAGTTAATTACCCGGGAAGCGATAAATAAAATGCTCCGCGTATGCAAATAAGCCGCACTCGGTGCGGGACGGACGCCTGAGGTGGACGGCGCCGGTGGGAAGGCACCGTCCGTCACGCTGCCCGCGTCTACATAAAAACCCGTCGCCGGGGCTGCCAGGTTGCCAGCAAGCGAGGGGGGAGGGGAGAAAAGTCAGCCACCTTCTATTATATTTCGTTGCAGCATAGCAAAGTAAGAACTGCCATGCTGAAGGTGATACGAAACCTATAAAAAAATCCCATCCATCACATTGAGACGGCTGTGTATTCTGCGGTTAGTTATAATTTTTTTTAAGTTTAAGTTTATTAAGTTTAAGCTTTTTAACATCTTGAAAGTCTGTTCTGTCAGTCTATCCCGTCCAAGTTCCCAAGGTTAATTAAAAATTTTCAAATTAATATTTAACGTCTATTGTACAATATCTAACCATGCATTGCAAATACATAATATAGAGACACAATTTAGTTGTCGTAGCGAAAGTTCTCCTTGTATAATTTTTTTAACATCTTGAAAGTTTAATCCCGTCCAAGTTCCGAATGTTAATTAAAAATTGTCTAATTAAATTTTACGTCTATTGTACAATATCTAACTATGCATTGCAAATACATATAGAGACATAATTTAGTTGTTATAGCGAATATTCTCCTGTATGGTTTTATGTACAGCGATGACAATGATAAGATTCCCGATTGTTTTTAATATAAGATTAAATTACCATAATACCTCAGTACGGCAACCCTGCTCAGCTTAAATAGAAAACATGAAATCCCCTTTCACTCCCTATCTTCCCATCCGAAGCTCTATCCATTTTAAAGGACACGGTCCGTCCATTTTAATGCAAGTTTAATTAAGGTAACTAAAATGTATTATTCTAGGTTGTAGTAACATGTGTACATATAATATAATTTAAATGTTAATATTTATGTTATATAAAATTTATAAGCTAACCAATGTTTTATTATTTTTTGTAATATTAATTTAGCTCATTGTACTATGTGGTGTATATGTATTCTAGGGTTAGGTAAATTCACATAAATTAACCACATATATAGAGAGATGTAAACCGGTTTGAAGAAACAGGTGAAAAAACCGGTTTTAATAGAACCTATTAAAACCGATTTTTGTTTAAGAAAACCGGTTTTATTGAAAGCAAAATATTGATCAATCTTACACTTAGTACGACATCTTACGCTTAAACCTTATAACAAACAGAGAACGGAAATCTACGACAAGTGAATAAGCACTTCGAGCTAGATGTATTAGAAAGTATTCTTTTATATGTAATAAAGCATTTTAATTTAAACGGTGGTAAGGCCGTTAATTAAAAATTGTCTAATTAAATTTTACGTCTATTGTACAATATCTAACTATGCATTGCAAATACATATAGAGACATAATTTAGTTGTTATAGCGAATATTCTCCTGTATGGTTTTATGTACAGCGATGACAATGATAAGATTCCCGATTGTTTTTAATATAAGATTAAATTACCATAATACCTCAGTACGGCAACCCTGCTCAGCTTAAATAGAAAACATGAAATCCCCTTTCACTCCCTATCTTCCCATCCGAAGCTCTATCCATTTTAAAGGACACGGTCCGTCCATTTTAATGCAAGTTTAATTAAGGTAACTAAAATGTATTATTCTAGGTTGTAGTAACATGTGTACATATAATATAATTTAAATGTTAATATTTATGTTATATAAAATTTATAAGCTAACCAATGTTTTATTATTTTTTGTAATATTAATTTAGCTCATTGTACTATGTGGTGTATATGTATTCTAGGGTTAGGTAAATTCACATAAATTAACCACATATATAGAGAGATGTAAACCGGTTTGAAGAAACAGGTGAAAAAACCGGTTTTTAATAGAACCTATTAAAACCGATTTTTGTTTAAGAAAACCGGTTTTATTGAAAGCAAAATATTGATCAATCTTACACTTAGTACGACATCTTACGCTTAAACCTTATAACAAACAGAGAACGGAAATCTACGACAAGTGAATAAGCACTTCGAGCTAGATGTATTAGAAAGTATTTTTTTATATGTAATAAAGCATTTTAATTTAAACGGTGGTAAGGCCACGCTGCCTCGGCTGTTGCACGAATAGGCAGGCCCGTCCGGGTAGGTACTAGGACCTCACAGACGACCAGCGTAAAGTGGAAGTATGACAAATACTTTCGCGTTTCGTCTGGTGAGTGAGGTAGCCGGAGCCCAATTTTCAAAAGGTTGTCAACTCATCTGTCACCCTCGGGTGTGGCAGATGTCCATGGGCGGCGGTATTCAATTAACATCAAGTGAAGCGTCTGCTCGTTTGACAACTTTTCGCATAAAAAAAGCAGCCACAAGCCACAAGACCTACAAAACCCCTTTAAATGTCTATACTGGTTGCTGTTTCTCCCTTACCTGCGGTTTATGGGCATCATGACTTTAGTCCAATAAGCTCTTTTTACAAAGCTTAATAAAAAACCTTTAAAAACCTAAAAATACCGTTTTTTTTAAAGTAATCGGTATAAAACCGGTGTGTAAAATTGTTATCGGTTCACATCTCTGATATATACGTATGTATTATATTGAATAATAACAGTATGTCGCTTGTAGAAATGTGCGATTGATATAATATATTAATCTAAAACACGAAGCTTCAATACCTGTATAAAGAAAGAGGTATATAAAGATTATAAAAATACCAATTGTGGCAAGGACATGTAGGGGTTTTTTCTTCTTGTGAGCCGAAGTATGACGCTCTCACTGAAGGCCAAAGTAAAGTAGCTTCTTTTTTGTTTTCTTTTTAAAGCAGTGATAGCTCAGTGGCCGGGTGCTCGCTTTTAATTCAATAAACTCAAGCAACCTGAGTTCAAAGTTTGGAGCCATCGGCACAAATAAAATTGTTAGTTGCAATTTTATGTGCTCAATTATCTCTCAGTGGTGAAGAAAAACGTAAAGGAGCATGCACATTTTCGAAATAACAAAAAAATGTTTTGAAGACATGTGAAGTCTGCCAACCCTACGGTTCGTTCATCGCCTGTAGCCGATGGGTTCTTCTTCTTTATTTTTAGTGAAGAGGAACAAGCGGTTGTAGTCGCGTTGCCACCTCTTAACGCAGTGGGCTTCGTTTACCTCCCTCACCAAAGGATACGCGGAAGTGTAACGATTTTCCGTGAAACGTGGTGCTCGGACGGACCCATTCGTGCAAGCGAATACTGTTGCATGACAAAACCAAAAATTTCATCCACACCACCTCGATGTCCAGCGTTCTACAACAGCGCGATTTTCAAGGCATTTCCTTCCTCGCACAGCCACTCTGTTGAACCAGCTTTCTCCGGCGGCGTAACGCCCTGGGAACCTTCAAGAAGAGAGCATACTCTTTCCTAAAAGGCCGGCAACGCTTTTGCGAGCCTCCCTGGGTTGAAGGTACTAATGGGCGGCGGTAATCACTTACCATTGTTACACACTGTGGTAGGGCCGCGCAGCAACCTCAGCTGTTGCACGAATGGGCAGCCTCGTCCGTGTAAGTATCACGACCTCACAGAAGACTGGCGTAAAGTGGAAGTATGACAAACACTTTCGCGTTTCGTCTGGTGACTGAGGTAGCCGAAGGGCAATTTTCAAAAGGTTGTCAACGCATCTGTAACCCTAGGGTGTAGCTGATGTCCATAGGCAGCGGTATTCACTTAACATCAGGTGAACCGCCTGCACGCTTGTCAACTTTTTACATACGCGTTTGCCCCATTTCTCAAAAAAAAAATACCTTCGCAGACTTCTTCAGTAGGGGCTCACCTGTGAGCAGGTCGGGCGTGAACGGCGGCATAAAAAAAACCTCCGCAGACTTCTTCGCTAGGGGCTCACCTGTGAGCAGGTCGGGCGTGAACCGCGGCGCCAGCTCCACCGAAGAGCAGTTCCACCTCTCGCCGGCGTGCGCGCCGAGGCAGGTGGCGCGCGCGACGCGGGCGGCCGCCGCCACGTGGCGCATGGCGGCGGGCTGCCGGCGGCACACGCGCGCCTGCCCGCTCCACAGAGCGCCGCTCCTGCGCGCCTCCGAGCAGTCGCTCTCGGTCCAGTTGCCGTCGCTCTCGTGGAGGGCCCTTTGCATGCGACGTCACGTTAAAACATGACTGGTTTCCTTATCTTTGATATGAACTAGCTGCCCGGACAGGCTGCGTTCTTTTTTTTCATGATGAGTGATTCTATGAAATGGCGTAAACTCTCAATAACTGGAGAAATAAATGAATCGAGCATATGGCTGTTCATTCCACGAGCGACCATGAGCGAGTTGGTTGGATGCACTATATACAGAGCAATTTAATACTCGTTTCGGATTACCTATACTTGCTCTAAGATTATAGCGTAAATAAAAAAAATCCTGAAAGCCTATATAACTGAATAAATATGTGACATGAATGAAATGATACAAATTCTTATTTTTATATATTCTATTGTCTTCTTTCACCTCATATCGTATTTTTCTAGTTTTTCTAATACGCCTTTATAGGCAAGCTCCAAGCTAATATGAACGCTCGAACTGCCACCAATAAAGTAACGCATTGTTATGACTGCAGCAAATAGACAGTTTGACTCGATTGCGTAGCGCAGATTAGTGGCCCAAAATAGCATAACGATGTTGTTGTGTCTAGTACATTTCGCTGGGATAAATGATGGAAACCATGGCTGTATTTTTATTAATCTAAGATATCAAAATTGAAGAATATCACGGGACCAGTTTGGTGGAATTCAAAGATTTTTAAATTTTTATTTTAATATTCCGTTTAAAAACGTTTGAAGATAAATCGATACATTTGCCGCAACCTTAGTTAAGTTAAAAGCTTGCGGTTCTTTCGGAGCTTATTAAATAGCAATACCCAAGAGAAATTCTCTTAATATGTACATTTTATTAGTCAGACTAAACGTTTGTCAAACGATTTGATATAGATACAATGCATAATAAGGTAAAGTTCAAACGTACACATATTATGTACAATAAAACACGCATAATGAGATTTTTGTCATATCTAATGAATAATTCAAGACATTCATAAAAATACTAAATCATTTGTTATACAAACACAGTTTACTGCTTAACTAGTTAATAAAACATCTATTACCAATATTGTATAGATCTTTTCAGACATGTAATGAAAATTGGAACTTCTACCGCCCAACAAGGTAATTAAAATTAAGAACTATCGTTCTACACTGTAATAAAATACACGATAAATATCATCGTCATGCTAAAGAATTAAAAACGATTTGTTCTCCACGCTTAAACAAGCTTCTTCTATGAATCGGAACTATAGAAAATAGATCTATTATTGATCAATACTGCTTATACTACTTCTTCTCCTTTTCGACGCTGCACGTGGCTTGGGAAGCCTGATGTCGTTGGCTGGCCTCCGCTCGACAGCCGCGCTGGAACGCCTCGCACATTTCGAACAGATAATTGGGCAAGAAGTCGTTGGCCTCGCCTTCCCTCCTTCGTAGAAGGCTGTATGCCTCGCGTAGCGTTGGCTTCGGGGTCAGCCGCATTTCAAGCTCCACCGCGGAAGGGAAGTGGGCCGCCAAAGAGTAAACGATCTCCAGATCGGAGGGCGGCGGCGTCAGGTGCTTGTAGTTCGTTACCTTGTGCAGGAAGTACTCCGACATACTCATCTTTGTCTCCCCCTCGTCGAACTTGCCGAGTTTCATGTCGTACAGGATCAGCTTCTGCCTATCCGGACCCCAATACTCCTGCTCGAATGCGCCATAGAAGCTCTCGGCGTCCCTAAACTCTTCGCGGAAACAACGCGCCCACATCAAAGGTATGCCGTCGAGGCATGACATTATGAAAGGCAGCTGTTTGCCTGGCGCGATGTTGAAATCGGAAATGTAGTATTTAACGTTCTCTAAGAAGTCCATTGGGTGGGTGTCACCACTGTCGTCGAAATGCGGACGTTTCTTCAACGAGGCCAGTATCCAATCGTTGAGGTTTTCTGTAGATATTTGTATCACTGGTTTAGAGCTGTTACAATTGCTGGAGCTTTCGTCGTCTATTTCTACTATTTTTGGGTGTCCATCGCCTTGGGCGCTGCCTATTTTATCTTCATCATCGGGTTTACCCAAGTTGGGCAAGGACATGTGACTCCGCAGTCGTGCTGAAGGCATATTTCCGTAGACGTCTTCTTGACTTTGTGAGAATCGTACGCCGAACCCTAATGTAGTCGGCTTGTAAATGGATCCGCCGTAGTACGGATTGTCGATGTTCTTTGCGCATTCACTTTTCGCTTTCTCTTTGATAGCCGAACTTGATATTCTGTCTACCATCTCGGAGAGATTCGTAACCGACGTCTTGATCTGTCGCAAGTCCACGAATAGACTCATCACGAATCGCTAATGCGTTGCGCGAAGGGACTTCAAAAATTCCATTATGTTTGAAATGTTGAGCTGAAACAAATTACTTGCTTTATTACACCACTATTGTGTCATTTTTAAGACGCTTTGTCCTTAATTAAGTGTATCAGTAGTAACAGCCTATATATGTCCCACTGCTGGGCATAGGCCTCGTCTGTACAGAGGGTATTGGAGTACAGTCCACGCGGCCCCACTGCCGATTACGGATTGCACATGTCTTCCAAACATTTTGTTGTTATTTCGAAAATCGGCACTGAGCTCGTGATAATTCAACTCGTGATAATTTCATTGATGCCGGCACCGGGATTGAACTCAAGTTGCTCGAGAATATTGAATTTAAAGCTAGCGCCCGGACAATGAGCTATCACGGCTCAGTGTATTAGTATACGCTATATTTGTGCACTGTTCAATAATTGCTTAGTGAGCGTGTGATTCCAATAAAAGTGCGATTCCAATAAAAGATCGAGTGTGTGAATTCCGAGGGAAGTTGTACGTGCGTAGCGATTTCGTAGAGGCAAAGAAAGCTTACGTGCGGCGACGGCGGGCAGGTAAATGGTACTACCCGCTCCCTTCGACGGGGCTTCAGCGGGGGATGCCGTGTACGTACTCGATGCTTTTTACACGCCGACATTACGATAACTGGGTTACGGCAGGCCGAATACATAATTCCATTGAAATTTCGATCCAAGGCCGCACACTAGCTTCCGCTTTTCGCGTTCGCAAATTTTAATAAACTCAATATCGTTGGGACAGTCCGTACTCAAAAAACCGAAAGTACGATCATATAGCGCATAGTTGAAAAAAATTTCGCGTATTCATTTATTAAAGTTCCTATTTTTTCAGAATAACGAAGCAAACGAATGTAAGCGGATCAACTTCGTTATCCAAGCGAGACAAGAGTTAACAAAGAGATCATTATTGATGCATTGGTTCGACTATGAACGGTCGTGGGGTTGTGCATACGCGTATTATAGTGTCGTATGTAAATATCTCGTCTACATATTTGTCGTTTTAATACAACCATATCGACCCGTCTGGGTATTTAGTTGAAAGAAGCGAACATAAACATTTTAATTGAAAATACAAACAATTTATTCAAATAATTCTTCAAATGTACTTTTTAAGTAAATAATGTTATTTTAAGCAGAGGTTAAAATGTTTTATATATAGATTATGAGGGATATAACATGATGGCACTATATAACATAAACTTAAAAACACATAAACAACGCATGACGGAAAAATATTCGTTGTCATATATGAATAGATATTCATATGAGACTTATAGTTCGAAAGCCACAAGCCGTATATCATATTGTGCAGTAACTTGTATTAATAATTACATCGTTTCGCAAGGCAAACCGATATTCCTGTCTAAATGCCAGGGGAGAAAGAAGGGGGCTTACACGCGACGTCACTACGTCACTCGCTCGTGACGCTCCCGCTTCTGTTGCATGCACTGAAACGCTGTATTAACTTTATAAGGGCAGTACACCACGCGGCCTATAAAAATCTTTATTTTTTTCTGTTCTAACCTATGACCGTAGTGATAATAGAATCGTATTAATTTAGAATAATATCCTAAATTAATAATCAAACTTATTTAATAATAATAATCATGCCATCAGGTGGGATGGCAGTCAAGGACTGGCCAGTTTCGAATTAAAAAAAGTCCAGATATGTTCATATATGGATTGGGGGTTACTTGTTTTGGATAATTATAAATTTATAAACTAATAATGACGAACTTAAATGCAAATTAAAATTTTTCAACTAGTACTTTAATACTACCAGCAAAATATGCCATTGATTATTAAGTATGCAAACACTTATCGACTTATGTAAACCTTCTAGTTCATGCATGAAGCATTACCCAGGGTAAAGGAAGAGAATTGTTCTTAGATTCTTAAACAATTTTCGAATATTTCGAACTGCTGTCTTTAGATATAGTCGAATTAAATGGTTATGAGACGAAGATAAGTACGGATTATAAAGTTAAAGAATCCCATTTTTTCGCATTAATCTCGCTGTGTTAGTCCGTATATACACAGTCCGCACTTGTTTATATAACAAAATAGATAGGGTAAACACGCTTAACTAACAAGAGTTTCACGATTCCACAGCTAATTGTTTCACATGTAACTAAATTGTGTCAGTAACTAAATAAAACCACTTAAAACAAAACTGCGCTACGAAAAATGGAAACAAACATTTAGGCGCGAAATATCCACCATTTTAATTTTTATAATTATAATATATCTAGTAAATAATAAACTAATAGACGAACAACATAATTATGATTATATCAAAATCGGTTCAGCCGCTTATTAGTTACGAGGGAACATCGAGACGGACATTTGACTTCGCCGTAGTCGGGTAGAATATATAATGTAAAACCAATAAATTAGGTACCTAAAATTACAGTTAGGTTAGTTTAGTTGAGGTTAGGTAAAATACAATATTAAATTGTATTTTACCTAATTTATAAAATTTTCAATGCGATGTTGCTAATAATATTGAACATGGGACTGTGTACATACACACGTGTGTAAATATTAAAGCTATGTTTCGCACCGTACCTTGCCTTTCGCGGTATGCGTGTCGATCTTATGGCGGCGTTGAGACTCTACCCCGGACATAGTCACGCGCTACGGGCACAAAGCTGCCGTAGCCCGTATCCATTATGGATAACTCATGCGGAATGCAATTGTTCCGTTGTCGCTGCCCGACGCCGGGGACATTATCGTATTCGTCACGCCGCGCACGTGTACGTACAATGTAATAAAATAATTCCCGTATCGAATTTTACGCGCCTATCTCGATCTAGTAGACAAAGGGCCACCGCGAGGGGCGTTCGGTTTCGCATTGTCATAACTGGTCGCGCTCCATAAAGGACCACCGAGCCTCCGCTCCGGGGCGCTCCGCTTTGTGCTGCGGATAAGGAGATAATTAAAAATATGGGTTACGATTTTTTTATTATCGCTCGAATAGGTAGGAGTCGCGTATTCAGCTACTAGTGGCGGTTGCGTATTTGTAACGGCCTTACAGCTGTAGCCGAATCAAACAGCGAGCGGAGTACTCCATGAGATGTCTCATGTACGTGAATTTGGTTTACTTCACTTTTATAATTTTACACCCTACTCTATTCAATTTTTTTTAATATGAAATTAAAACCGCTGCTGTTTTTAATTAATGATGACCCACACACCTTTTCAGGAACAGAATTCTAAGAAAGAGTAGAAGTTCTTTTCTTAAAACCTTTCGGCTACACTTAACTTCACAACAGACTTCAATTAACACACAAGTCAATAAATGAAATGAAATAATATTAATAAATCATTAAGATGTAATCTTGTGGGGGAAATTAGTCCTATCGTTAATTGAAAAATGTTTAAGGATTTTATCGCTTTTAATTCTAAATTTAAGTTCCCCGTGTTTTATACATTTCATAGCATCCATTTAATTATAATTTAAGCCTCTGAGCGTAACCCTTGCTTCTTTAATATTGTTCTATAAATTCGGAATCAAATTTGTTATAACATTGAGCCGTAAAATTAACGGGTTACTTAGAAAAACCGCGATACCCGCCCCCAAGGCATTTAAATAGATTGCTCTTATATTTAGTATGTTTTATGTAGATTAATTCTTAGTATAAATCTGTAAAGAGGGTATTATATATTTGTACAAGTTACAGCTTAACAAAATGAAATTCAGAATCTCAGAAAATTATAAACGCAAAATGGTGCTTGTTGTCCCAGCCACGGTTCCCTGTACGACATTACTCGTAGGGCTCTTGTTTCCATCAATGTTCCATCTATGAGAGAGACGCGACGGCTTGACTTTTTCTCTCTCTTTACCTCTTGGGAGAGAAGCAATGCCTTGTTTGGGTTGCTCCTTGTGTAGACACTTTAGCTGCCTCTCATTTAAGGGGTACTTCGGTCAAGGCCAGGGTGGCATTGGAGGCAGTGAAGTAAGTAAGTGGCTGAAATATGAGTCTCTTTGTTTAGATTATGGTTTGTGATGTGATATTTTAGGTACGTGGAGTCCCCGTACATCGAAATTTTCTCGCTCAAAGGTTAAGCATAACTTTTCAGTGACTTGCCAGGTTACGGTTTGCTAAAGAGTATGTCCAATGGACATAATAAAGATGATATTATGTTTTCTAATGAGTCTAGACTTTATTTATATGGAGGAGACGAGCATGTATGGTACGAGCTCGGAACCTGTGAAAACAACTCTTTCGGGCTTCAACTACCATAGAGAAGAATGCATTAATGGAAGAATGGTCCAATATAGACCAAAATCGTAATAAAAATTTGTTTACAGCATGCCACATGATCTTAATAACGTTATAATAATTATACTCATTGCGGACTTACAAAGTATTAAAACAATAAAAACTTTTTTTTAACTGAGATATGTATTGTTAATCTCACAAATTTGAAGCTTATTTAATGAGTTTTTTATATTCATTAAAACTGATTTGTTGATTTTGAAAGAGTGTACAAAGTTTATGATTTTTCTTATAAGTCATTTACAACATACATACCATAGTTTGACGAATCAATTATATTTAAGGAACTATGAAAGTTTTGACCAAAACGTTATTTTTGCGGCACGGTATAAAAATACCAAATTGCAGGAAAAGTACAATACAAATACAATCACTCGCGTGGAACCAGCTGACGCCGTAACAAATGCACGTCACTGATTCCACTTTAATGATGATTAAGCGCTGAATGATAATGGTGGCATGCGTGTCGCGCAGAGCCACCCCAACGGGAGTTGTTGTAGAAAAGCTAACTTAAATTTACTTTATAAAGTCTTAGAACACATTAGTGCAAATTTACATTACTAAGTTTTCTTGAAATTGAAATAAAATTATTTGTAGCGTTTAAAAAATAGTATTTGATAAGGGAGGGTTTTCTAAAAGCTTAGGGTGCATTGCCAATTAATTGAATTTACGGATC